CTGTGTGTTTGATGAGTCAGTTCTCATTAAATATTATTTGATTAATCAAATTAGAATGCTCATGTAACAATGACATACGCGCATCTGTTATTAATATTAAATAGCAGATGATTGTACTTGACAGTCAATAGTTGCCACATCTCTTCAAAACAGGATTGGATACTACATACGAGACTGAACAGAATGAATTATATCCACAGTTTAAAGTAACCAAAATCATCAATTTACTAAATTGTGACAAATGAATCGGTCGTATTTGCATTGTTGCCACAAACCATCCATTAACAAGTGACTAACTAGGGGATTGTATTCAAAATCACTACGCTGAAAGCTATGGTCGTTGCACCTGGTTTACTCGACCGTGTAATTGGTACGGCCTACGCCTGCCTGTGTTTTTGTTGTGGCTGTATTACTTGCTAATGAAGTCATTGTCAGGGATATCGATGGGAATAAAGATATAAAAAACGTTTAAAGCTACCGAAGAAGTAAGGCATAATAATTAAAATTGCGATTCCACAAAATCTTGACCCATAATGAAACTGTTTTACGATCCGATGAATCTGTGTCATGTAATAATAACTTTTGTATGCCACATTGGCTTCAAGTGCTTCAAAGACAAACAATTCTTGAACGTCATACGTCAACGCGATGACGTAAAATACACACATGAGCCGCATAGTGCTTTAATTACATAATTGTATTACGCCAGGATAAATGACAGATGAATACCAAATGCTGATATACCAAACCTGTTAGTTATTATTTTGAATCTGTATTCATTAAAAAAGTTTTCTTGCGTACCCATGTAAACGTCTAATTAAGTACTACGATAAAATTTCTAAAAACCGTAAAATACATATTGCGTAATTGGAAGACAAAATTATTTATGTAATTAAAAAGTATATCGTAGGCATGAATTGGTTTTATGCTTTTTAGCTATCATATCATATTTACCTGCCTACTCTTGTGATATCATTTACTCGCAATGCTAGTTGGGATCGAAATTAATTAGAGAAGAATTTAAGTAGTAAATTGAATAAAGTTTCCCAACCATCATCTTTGAAAGTACAAAAATAATTAATTTAGATCATTAATGTCTATTCACAAGACTACAATTTGTCTTTATAAACTGACATTTGGGATCTCTACTTGTTTGTAGAATAATGATTGATGATACACCACGTGTTTCATACGAGTAAATTAATGAAAATGACCTCAGACTTCGAAATAATTTCAATATGTCATATCCATGATAATTTCTGGCGCCACTACGCCAGTCATGGCATTATAGAGAATCGTGATGCTATAAAATGAACATAAAGAACGGGTTGACGATAAATTTTATACCAATTAAAAATAATGTCCAAAAATGCATCGGTCCAAGTAAAGCTTACACATTACAACATTTACAACAAGTGGAACTAGCCATTAATTCGGCATGAGAAGATTTGAGGATTACTTTAACTGTTGATAATTGAACCTGGCGTTCCAATAAATGATTGCATAAAAAGACATCAAGCATTTTAAATAGGATTCTATCTTATGCAATGTATCAAAGGTTCATTTAACTTCGGCAACAAATTATGGACCCTCGCCTAGTTGAGATTACCTAAGGATGGGGCGCTAGTTTTATGTGGGTAGTTGCGAATTGCAGGTCATTGGCCTAAGGCCCACATGTATGGGTGCCCTGAGAAACCAAGTATTTTAGCATTTTGTGTACGGTAAACACAACTGGCATGTAAGAACTTAACAGGCTATTCGTTTTTTTTTCATATTTGGGCTACGTACAACAATAACAGGTGTTTTGTTTTTACAAGTGACGATGTTATTTTAGGAGACAAAGTACTTACTGCATGACAGATAATGTTAGTTAAAAAAAATTTTGTTTGCCAGGTATTTAACATAGTAAATGGTTTTAAATATCGATAAATAAAATACCCACTTGGACCATTTCAAATAGTAAGTGGTACAAAGTAAGTTTTAATTCAATTTTAGCAAACTTGCGCCAAAGTGCCATATGCAAATAACAAGCTGTTTGCCGGCGACAGACAGTATGCTAATTTGACGTATCCATCGTCAGATCTAGGCCACATTTCCTTTGGCGAAGAGTAGATAAAATAGTAAATGGTGACTTATTTGTTGTAATTTTGGTTTGGAGCGAATAACCGAACGTTGTACTTTACATTTTTTTTTAGCAGACAAGCTATATTCATCTAATAAGCATACATGTAAAATGTATAATAACAAACAAGATTCAATCTTTTTTTAATGTAACATATTAGTTAAAAAAATGCTGTTATCTTTTAGAAAGTTAGCTTGGGGAAGGCCACAACAATTAACCACGTTTATGATTAAGATAAGCACGCGAACTAAATTCAGTTTGGAAACTGAGACAGGGTGTAACAGACAGGTTATAATTACGAAATCTCTGACACGCAAATATGCGTAAGGTCACAGGTTAAACACGCAATGCAGTTGTAGTACGATTCACGTATTATACATATGCAATGCTTGGATGCAATCATACCGTAAATCTAGGTGGATACAATAAAACAAAAATACTTGATAGTTTTTCAGTTCTGTTTTATGAAAGGATGAGGGAGATGAAAGCCAGTTAATATTTTAAATAAGTTCAATTAATATTCCATTCATGACTTTGGAGACGGACGTGTGTCGTGTGCCACTGCCGATGTACATGATTAGGATTCGTCTTGAATAACAAATATGACAGAATTTTAAATTATTTCGATAATAATCGTTCCATTATCATGCGCGTGAGAGTTTATAGTAAACAAGGAAAGCGAAACGGTCGTAAAATAAAGCCAAAAATACTGCCATTTAAGAGTTAAGTGATGCTATTTACTGGTGATGCAATACTAGTGATAATATTGTTTATTTTATAGTATCTAACCTAAAGATAAATGAAATACGTTTATTAGTGACCGTGAATTATCAGAAATGTATTTTTTTAAGAATTAATTAATATTCAAACAGGCCTTTAGTTGGTTAAATACTAACGAAAAGCATGTTTGAATATTACCAAATAAAGAAAACAGGGCTAGGTAGGTTTAAGAACAATTTTTATCCAGAGCCAAGCAAAGTAAAACGTATAATCGATTGAGGTCCAAATTTTCGTTTCTCAATACTTACAACGGAACTGGCAAACATAGCAATGAATGACAATGAAGACTGTCATAATTTTTGATGAGCTATTAGTCCAAAACTTTGGCCGCCATACTGTAGGGTACTCGACGTCGTGGGTCGTGGTTATAATAAATCCGTTATAATTTACCACAATTTTGTCGCAAGTGCACTAGCACTTACTTCGAGTAATGTTACAGAAACGGGATTTAACAAATATTATTGTAATAGTCACTTTTGATTAGAAGTCATTTTTGAATTACTTTTTTAGAATTGACTTAAAACAGCTCTTAGAATTACCAAAACAAGCAAAAACCAAAATTTTTATAATTATACCATATGCTTCGTAACAAGGTGTTTCCTTACAACAGTGTCCTAATCGCAAGGTGTGGTAGACATCTGCGGCCAGTTGCGGTCGAATCACGGTTGAATCAATGCAAACACCTGTCGTGGTGCCGCAATTTTTGGTTTCTTTTGCCCGGATTGGCATATTGTAGTCAGTTATTATTAAATGGTTTATGAATATGCAATTGCTATTGATGTATGCGTATGTATGTTACATAAAATATGCTTAATACGGCTTGACATCATTATTACCATAACATTATTGAAATATATTAAACAAATCAACATTTTTACGTTTTAGTATTTAATTATCCTCACATTATTACAAGTTTAAATTCTACAAGAAACTATTAGCAATTGAGCTCACCTCTTGAGAGCTGTTTGCGAATTGTTCCCATTTAAACTTTACGTGTTTCCTAGCCTTCTGGCATTTGGGTCATCTGGATCGATTCCAAAAGATTTAGTTTGACATCGAAGAAAAATTAGTTATGTTTACAATACGACTTTGTTTCATGTGACTGTGGAATCCATGAAAGAGCAATTGATTTATTTTGATAATCCATTATTTTCGTTTAACACCGTTTTTTGTACAAACTTATACAGGTCTGCTTAAGTCCCGGGACCTTCTTATAACTAAGTAAACATTGTGCCTGATATAGATACATAAATTCTAGTAACAGTATCACAAAAGAAAACATCGAAACAAAAGAGAGAAAAAAATACAATGTAATGAATAATTGAATGTCATCGGATTCTCATAGCTCTCGAAGGAATACAAAAGAGTAACATAAGAGAGCTTTTTAATTTTCACTATAAAACAATATGTGAGACTTTTATTGTTCTACCGAGTTGAGTGATGAGAATATGCAGATGCTTGAGGAAACTCTTTTTGTACGTGATTGATGTTTGAGAGATATAGTTATGTACATGGAAGGCAAGAAACTTGATCGGGCGAGAAACTATACTATACTGTGCCTGTTCGTATGAAAGGATAATATAGGTGCAAGCGGTGTCAAAGGTACGTATTTGAGTTATTATTATGAAGTATGACATGTTCCTACATTTAAAATTTAGAATGTGACCTTGTTTAATTTGGTGATGTAATTAGGGTCTTATGTTAAGCATAAATTCAACGGAGTTATGGTCGCGTGTCGTATCGTCTCCCTTTAAGTTTAGGTTGGAAACAAAGAGGGCAGGGTGTAAGGCGGGGGTGCGATGCGTCACCGCGACCACTCCGCCACGCACCCCCTGCGCACCCTCGCCCCAAAACATTGATCGATTCCTCCATCACAAATGCCATGCGCAAAGCCCGCCCTTTTTGTTTATATTTTCTTTTTATTTTCATAATTTAACTTAATTATTTCAGTTATTAGGATGAATATTATGTCAAACATTTTTAGATTAAAACAATGTTTAGGGTATTAAAAAAACGGGTGATGATTTCACAGATGATATCATAATACCTAATTACACGCTCTAATTAACAGTTTATTAAGTGCTAAATTGGTACTCACTGGCATTCGTTCATGATCTCCTCCTGGCTGCGAACTTGCACTGGAGCCAACTTCTCTACGCTCTCTTCATAGTTTCCGAAACACTTGGTGATCTTCTCATCGAAAGTGTTCACCAAATCTTCCAGTGAACCGGAGAAAGTCTCCGTAAAGTTGTCTCCTTCACCGTTTTGCATAATATTGTCCTGTTTGCACTTCACCGGTTTAGGTTCCTCATTATCATTTATTTTGTTGGAGTCAGTTTTCATTTTGACCATTTCACTTTTGACATTTTTAATGTTGTTAAGACGTATGTCGTTACCGTTTATGGTTTTTTGTGGGTAGTCAGCAGTGGAAAGACAATCGTCTGCTTCTTCGATTTGCGCGAGAGGCGCTTCGAACTCGAGCTCGGCCATTCTGCCAGCCGCTTCTCGCATGCCGTACAACCACTCGCGTTGTTGGACGCGCGTACACTGCTGAACGCCGCCGACCGCTTGCCGCTTGACGGCTTGATGCTTCACGCCCGCACCGCGCCGTCCCTCGCAGACCTGAGTTTCTGGAGTCGATTTTGTATGTTAAATCCGGCAGCGAGCGTCTTGTAATTGTAACGAAAACTTTCAGCACATCGCATAATATAGAGATGAAAGTTTATCAAGAAGCTAACTAATATAAAAATAAGACAGGTAGGTAGGTATAGGTAGCGTCAATTCTTCTTTTCTTTCATATTTTTTCAATTTAATACACCATTTTAAATGAAGCGAAATAAGTAAGGGTTGAAGGCATGACAGAATTATGTTATTTAGCGCACTTAACAGCTCTTTTTGTCTTAAATGGAAGAAAGGCGACAGGCGTGAATTTATGTATGCACAATTTAGCTGTAATTTAGGTGGCAGCAACAATATCGAGATTGAAGCTAATTAAGCAATTTATAGGCAATCTCAAGCTATTTAACGAATTTAGAATACCTAGGTACTTGTTACAGTAAGTCCTAGGTTAAGTTTGTTGTGTTACTACTCAACAAAGGTTAGTTTATAAATGTGGGTACTTACCTAATTACTTATTAAACTAGTAGACACCTTAAACGTACATACTCCAACCTCTTGTATCGTAATATACACATTTTGTGCTGTCGTGCGTAGTAGGTATGTAGGTACCTATATGCATGCATGCAATGTGTATTTCTTTATTTACAATCAATAGTAAAAATTTGTATAGTTAAAGGTCAGTCATGATAACGCATTTTCTTCGTATTTTTTCTATAAATTATGCCTTAGGTTTTCATTTTTGTGATACTTTGAAATTTTGAAGCACTTATTATTTACGCGCCATAGATTGACGTTTATGAAACAGTTGCCATATAATATAATCCACAGAAAAAAATTCTTACAAGATCTTACGTAAAAAGGTTAAAGTAACTACTAAAAAAAGTTATACTAAAAGTTCTTATCTTTGATAAAGATTATTATTTATTTGGAATTACAAAAAACATCTTTTTTAACAAATGTTAATTAAAAATTTCGTTCAATATTTAATAAATCAACAAAAATACGTGTTAGAGTTTTTATTATGGTAGCACTTACTCTACGTTGTCAATTTTTATTTTGACAATAACATTTCCATCGTAACAATCAAGTTCGGAACAAAAATGGAAATTGCAAAATGATAACATGAAAACCATCCAAAATATTATTAGATAATTATTACCGGGTAAATCGCTATGTATGTTTTGAAACGATTTTATGACATCAAGGCAATAAAGGCATTGCTGAGGTGCTACAGGTAAAAAACAAAAATCTAAACAGTCACACATACATTCCAAAATAAATCACATATTTTGATGCGTCATTTCTTTTCAGTTTAAGAAGAAAAAATCATTATGAAATCCTTAATTTACAAAGAAATTGTTCCGATAAAGAAATCAAGGAAGCTTTCATACAAATGAGCAAAGAAGTAAGTCAATTCTTTTGCAGTACAATATGATGCTTTTATGTAAGTCTTTGTTTTTTTGTTCAACACTATGCAATATTGAGATAGGAGAAGGTTTGTGTTTTTTTAAACACAATTTTCTCTTTGAAACGAATTATAAGGGTTCATCATATACCAAGGCTTGTTAACTGTAAACCATCAAAATTAGAAATAAGTACCTACATCATACAATTAAAAGTGCTCATTTGTCTACTCTATCGGGAGTTAAGAGACATGATCCTAAGTGATGTGTGATGTTATGTTTGTAAATATACATTTTTCAGTTCCATCCTGATAAAAACAAAGATGTAGGCGCACAGGAAAAGTTTGTACGTATTGTGGAGGCATACAATGTGCTTGGGAAGCCCAGCAGTCGAGTTCAATATGACAACATGATTGAAATAGATAATGGGGCCTCATATGTATACAGATCACATGCACCATACAAGTAAGTAAAAAGTTTTGCATGCATTTATCTGTTATTATGAGTTTTTTTATATTATCAGTATCTTTACTTTTGAATTGAAGTTTCTTATCATATTCAGCACCAGCATTTGATACTTACCTATTATAACATAAATGGTAAGCATGTTATTTGCACAAAATTATGTTCTACTAGGCTTCCTGACTTGGCACATTCTAAACCACCCTAAATTTAACTATTATTTCTAAGCTTAGAAGTGTAAATTGTGTTCTTTATCAAGCATCTAATATCACATATAGAACAATTTTTATAAGTATTGAAATGTATTTTAAATTTTTATTGCAAACTGCATTCTATAAATTAGATTGGTAGTATGTGTTATTCCAGGTTCTAATCTATCTCTGTCAAAGCTTATTCTGATCCCTTCAGTAATTCTTATGCAATAGTAGAATAGTAATACATTCACCTCAGCATTTTTTTACCTTTATAATACTAATAGGATTGTGTCTGTGTCATTTCCATACTTGGCATACAGCTTGAAGATCTTGCTTAGATCTGTCAATAATTTATTAATTAATAATATCACAAATTAATGCTGCACTTTACACAACTGTTGTATCTCGAATTACCACTATTAAAAAGTTAAATGCTATAAAAATCTATAACACATTTTATATTAATAACCCATACATATTTTTCTATTCCAGTATGTCCAAGAACCCACAGTACAGCTACTACTATGAATCCTATGCGAGATCATCCAGCAGGAATGACAATTCTAATAATTTCTATGGAGTATCTGGGGTGAAGAAATTACCAAATTATGTCATCATTGCTATGTGTACTGGAGTCGCATTAGTTGGGATTTTCCTTCAAGTGTTTGTTATAAGGTAAGTTTGTTAGAAATGTTGCTTGGGTTTTTTTTAAATGTCTAGGACACCAAACTGTGCATCTACATCAGCCACATACATATGTCATGTATAACTAAAAAATGTTATAACATTTAATGTGTTTATACCATATGGGTTTTCAGACAAAATTTATGAGAACTACTTAACCAGCATTAATGAAACTTAGCACCATAATGGTCTATAAACTTAATTGAAGCGAAGTGTTTTCGAAAAAGACTTAAGAGGCGATAAATTTCCATATAAACATAAAATTGCGAAAATTTTTATTTTGAAGAGTAGCTGTTCCATCTGCCTGAATATTTCGAAAATGTTCTTACTTTATTATTACATAGTAGTCTATGTATAACATTTCCGGCCACTGTTACCTAAAAAAAAATCTGGTTTACAATGTGATATGCCAATGTGTATAAACTAATGATGGATTATTATTAGACATATTTTATTTTAAATTGTGGTGTAACATTTTTGCAGCAACCTTTTCGATGTTATTTGTAAAGTAAATAAATTAGTTCATATTTATTAGGGCTAAGTTGTGTTGGCCCAGTAGTAAGGGTCCCCCTTAACACATGGCTTGAAATCCACACATCTCATGTGTGGATTTCATGGATTGGTGAATCGCGGCACAGCTCTTCTCCGCTCTGTTCCGCTCCGCCTCAATGGAACTGCACCCTTAACCTGGCAGGAACTGATATGACTGTTTGAAATCGCCAATTCGTTAATCCGGCTTGAGTAAGCGTGGTTATTGATGCTCAAACCTTCTCTATGATGAGGAATCCATGCTGCAATGCTGCAACCTCATTACTAATAAAGTAAACTAGACTGAATTAGTAAAGTAAATAAATTAGTCTACCTGAATTAGGGCCAGTATGAGCAAGCTTATTGCTAAACAGAGTACAGATTGTACAGTTTGACACAAGTTGCCAGTTATAACAATTGCACCACTGCCAATAATGTTAATTTTAAAATGTAGACCACACACTAACTTCTCTGATAATATAGGTGTTAATGTGGTGGTCCATTTGATTCTATCCTGTAAAAAACTCAGACCATCTAATTGCATATGGATGCATATTTACTTTAAAAATATAAAATTTTTCTTTGCTTTTTGAAGACGCTACATAATTATATAAAGGTATATTTTTTTTACAGAAATTTGTATGTCGCACAACGTAAACAAGCTCAAGAAAAATCAAAACGTCTTGCCGAAGAATTGGATAAGGTCCGGGCTGCAGCTCAGGCAAATGGAAATGAGGTAATATACTTAATATACTGAGTATATGGTTTTGCTCAACAACAAAAAAATATATCTTATTATTTAACACTTCCTACGGCTTTCTAACCGAAAGTGTCAATCAGACTCCCATTATAGTTATAATCCAAAATTAAAAACTTGCTAAAGACATAATAAACGTGTATAAATAAATTGGAATTATAAATAAAACAATATTACACCCCCTTTGCCCTAGACAACGTCAGATAGAAGGGCATTATTGCGTTTCGCATTGTGAACCTTGCCAATTTATTGTCGTAGTTACAAAAATACAATTGGGTAGTTTCCTAGGTCGAAAATAAATTAATTCGACGTTTCAATACAATAAAATATTAAAAAATAACTATACTATATTCATCAATCGATCGATATAGGTACTGAATTTTAGATACTTTTTAGTTAATTTTAAAGAAATAAGTAAACTATTTGTCGTATAAAAACTGACGTCATAACTCAGTTTTACTTACAAATTTCGTAGAAAAGGATCGTTTTTGACATTTGGATAAAGTATTGAATTTGACTAGTTAGAAAATTGATTTTGACTAAAAAAATGACTTGCATTAATTATTAATTAATCACTCTCTCTCCTCTCCTCTCTCACCTCTCCCTCTCTCCTCTCTCTCTCCTATCTCTCTCCTCTCTCTCTCCCCACCCTCACTCATCTCCCTCCTCTCTCTATTTTCTCTCTCTCTCTTTTCTCGCTCTCTCATATCTCTCTCTCACCTCTCTCTCTTTTTCTCACCTCTCTATCCTCTCTCTCTCCCCCCTTTCTCTCCTGTCTCTCTCTTCTCTCTCTCTCTCCTCTTTCTCTCCTTTCTCTCTTCTCTCTCCTCTCCCGCTCCTCTCTCTCTTTCCTCTCTCTCTTTCTCATCTCGTCTCCACCTTCTCTCTTTACTCATTTGTTTTGTTTGTTTAAATATTTCAGTTGCAGACCCGATTATTACTTGACAAGATCGTGGCAGCAGCGAACCCTACCGTCGCTACAGCGTCATTAGGACAGGCTCTGGCGAACGAAAAGAAGTGAATATTTTCATTTCTATGTAGAACATATTTTTTTAGACAAATTGTAGTTTTTATATCAGTTGACGCGACTTTAGAAGTCGAGTAATGACTCAATAATGCATTATTGTGTAGTTTGAATTACTTTGTTGTTATTTATTTGTGTGATTGAACTGGTTCCTGTTGTCGTTTTAGGGCGCTGAATATTTATTGCATAGTCAAGTCAATTAATCAATTTTGTAGTGTAACAAAATCTACTTTATAAATCAATGTAAATATTTTTACATGAATCTTCTAATCTGTAAATTATAGTAAGCAGTAGTAGTTCTGTAATGTAATGGTCAAGTAGAACAATGTTATTTAAAAATTAAAAATGAAAATTACTATAATTAGGTACTTTTACATACACTTATATAGAAATAAAAGATAAATTTATATTTTATTTGACTAAGCTATCAATAGATGTCAAATAATGCATATAATTACATTTGATATTCTTAAATCACTTTATAATAATTATCATCTATTTAGTCTTGCAACACCTGGAATGCCAATGGAAACCATAAGTATAGAAATACATAAGTACAGAGAGTAAATATATGAATTACATTAGTACATAATAGTTTTGTACAGTGTACATTATGTAAATATAGAGTAAAAGTTGTTATATGTTTTGTAAATCTTTTGACTTTTTACATATGTGCCTGTATTGATATTCATTGAACTACCTCCCTTTGTAAATCTCTGTGTACAAATTGTTTGTTGTTGGTTATTTAGATTGTAATATATTTTACAATTAAATACTTTATTGTAGTTTTTATTAGAACTCTTTAGTCGAAGAGCGTCGAAGTGAATAAGAAATTCAATCTTATCAACAACAGTTTAATGCAAACATTACTTTGGCAAATACCCGTGCTCCAATGAGTTGGATTTTGATGGATTTTCGCTTTGATGCGCCTCGACAGTGTGCCTGTAAAATGTCCTTTAAAATATCAATTGGTATCTTCTAATTAAACTTTCCTATTGTATTCTTACACTGTAGAAATAACTTCAAATAAGTGACCGTGGTCAAAACTGGTGATGGAAATCTTCAAAAAGCCCACGGTGTTCCCGAATCGAACGAATAAAGATCTTCATATACATTTTCAATTTGTTTTATCTATTTTTAGTTCAACCGTCCAACGGAGGCTCACGTTAGATTTTTTGTTTTATATGTTGGGTCAATGTTTCGAAACATTTGAGCCAACCGCACGAACAAAATGTAATTAAATGGAATTGTAGCGCGTATATACCTTCCATTTAGTCATTTGCTTATCTATATACTTACCTACGTATAGATGTCAATTATCTACTCCCAAAAGACTTATACTCTTGGAGGTTTCGTATAAGACGACAGGATTACATAGATATGTCGGGTAGCAGCGTTTTCTGAAAGACCTGATTCCTTTGAAACTGCCATAACTCTTGTGGTCTCTGCGGACTCGCATGGGCTGTTGATGATTTTTTATTCTACAAAAACTTTACAGAAATTCACCGGAGGCTTTCTTTACGGGACTAGAACTAACGGACATGGCAAAACGCAAAGAAGATTTACCATATTCAACGATAAGTGATTCTCAAATCACCTACCAAAACTTAATGAAAAAAGTTTTGTCATTGTTATTGTAAATTAAATGTATTGAGAACTAATTTACAATAATATTGGATATTATGAAATTACACGGTTGAGCTCGTTCCCTTACAGGTTGGCTAAGCAAAATCTTTTCAAGGTTGGTTGGTACCTGTAACTATTGATTGGTGCTGTAAGCTTATTGTAATGTATCGTAAAGTCAAATGTTGCCATATAGATTGTTACAAAATTATATTTTTTGTTCTTATTTGTAGTTTATTGGATTTTTGTTGGATTAGGCTGATTTTTTTATGTAATAGGACTGTAAACAAGCTATGTATTAGGAGGATTACCTGAATGGTAAGCAATAAGCGCCGCCAAGGACACCCGCCACAGCAGAGGATTTACGAGTGCATTAGGGATTGGGGGATGGGAAGGATTGGGCCTTCGGTAACCTCATTAACACGGCGAAACACAACGCGATGGTGGTTTCACGCTGATTTTCTGTGAGGATATGGTATAACTCCGGTCGAGCCCACCCATTCATGCCGAAGCATGGCTCTCCCACGCATGAATTCAAAGTACTTAGCTGTGTTCCGAGTTTTCTTTTGTGTTCTACATAACGAAAAGTCAGTTGTGTTCCCAAAAAATGTAATGCGAGCGAAGCTGCAAGCAAAAGCTGGTTTGTTAAAATTGTATGTAATACTTACACCCGGTTTCTGAAAGGCTTGTCAACGCTAAAATTAACTAATCTCCTGTTAAATCTCTTGTCAAGTCATCTAATTGGTTGTTGATAATTCAGTCAACCAATCAGATGACTTGACAAGAGATTAAATTGATTTTAACATTTATCGGCCTTTCGGAAACTGGGGGTTAGTCAATTTAATTAAAGTATCTACCTAATAAAGTATGTGTGCAAAAATGATGAATTTTGTCGGCAGATGACACTAGATCTATCTAGATCATCGGTACTCAACCTTTCTTATATACAGCCCACAAACACGTTTTAGACATGGTGTTCCGGGCCGCAAGCAAAAATTATCGTAGGAGAGCCACACTCACATGGGCACATAAATCCCGCCCGACCGGAGTGATACCAATACCTTCTCCCTTTTCTTCCTCTCCCCTTCTCTTATTTATTTATGAATGGGCGCGACAGTCAAAATATTTAACAATTATCTCTAATTGCACGTGGGCCACTGATATAGGCCCGGCGCGGCGGGACGCAGGTTGAGTACCTATGGCTGATCTAGATCTAATAAACACAGTCTAACGGTATCTACACAATGCATGAACAACTGTTGAATAAATACTTTTTTAAAGTGAAAAATGTAGGCATTTCATAATTAACTATCAATTGATGTTAAAGCTCATTAACACGATAACATTTTCTTGAACTTACAAGATCAGTAATTGTAAGTATTCAATAGATTTAAAGCTCATTTATCTACATACCACACGCATTGTTAAGACCATGCAAGTCGATCATTGCTGTAAGCAACAGGTAAGAAACTTATTGTTTTTTTTTATCAGTGGCTAGACCTACTTAATCATCCTTCTTTGTAGGATCTATAAATTATAATAAAACCTTTGTTATGAAATTGGCTCAGCATTCGAGAACATGGTGTGGCCGCTACGTAGGTAAGTAGATACGTATGTACATACATAAGTCAATGTAATTAACTAAAACTCACGTTTGTAAATTAAGAAAAGCTTTACTAGTTGCGAACCACAGAGGGGTTCTTCCTCATGAACAGCGTGCGCGGACGCGGCGACGTCGCGCAGCCTGAAACTGTGGTTCGAAACTAGTAGAGCTTTTCTCAATTTAAACACGTGAGTAACCCGCGATTTTTAGTTAATTTAGTATGTCTCACGATAGTTATTATAAAAATCGATGTACTTTTTTCCTTTCCGCTGTAACGGAACTAGGTAGATACCTTTTATTTTGGTATGTCGGGTTGTAAAGTTCTCGTGCAGACCCACCGGCCTCGGGGTAGGCCAAAGGGTACTATCAGACTTAGGTACTGACTAAAAACCAACCCGGTGTTCCTTCATTTATCTATGTGGTGTGTGTGTGTCTCATAGGTGTGCCTACATTACACAGTTTCTAATAAAATACAGGAAAGTAGGTAACATAATTTATTTTATATTAGGAATATTTTAATAATATTAGGTTCTTATTATAAGTAGGTACAATACACGCCATCTTTCCCCTCAGTAAGTAAATATGTAGGTACTGTAATAATAATGCAGTTAATAGTTAGGTAAGTAGGTATCTAGTAGTGGGTGGAATTCTCATAGGGCACTACGAGCATCTAAGCTTCTAAACACTACACTCGTCGTGGTCAATTGATTAATTTCCTTTCCAGCAAGTAATTCTCTCTAGATATACTACAAACAAAATGTAAATATCACAACCAATTTCAAACTAACCAGACAGGTAGGTAAGTCATCAACTAGCGGCTACATGAAGATAGGTGTAGAATAGCATGTTGAGCGAACGAGTGTTTTAGATAAAGGTAAGATTGCGATCGCTCGATAACTTATAAATATGATTAGTTCTATCGATGCAACACTTGAAAAGAAACATAAATAAAACTATAATATTAGGTACGTACTCGTAATATGGCCAATACAAGGTAAATAGAATCACCATTTTTTTGGTATATTATAGTAGTATTTTGGTATAAACTCTGTCGTCCACGTGAGGCGGTTCGGGGACTATAAGAGGCTTGCCATCCATTTTGATCTCTGTGTATGGAGCCGAGTACATGCAAGTGAAGCCAAGCCTTTCTGCGGACATTGCTGAGAAGGCACTCGATGTGTCCATACGGAGTACTTTAATACCACGTTGTTTGGCCAGTTTCCTGTAAAGATAGAAATAGATACCTATTTATCTGTTTATCAAACTCGGAAGTTAGACAACTATTTAGATAAGAAGTCTTTGGAATCGATATTGCAGCCATTTCCACTCCAAATGCTGATTTCGAGTCGTGAATGGTGCCACCGCCACTCCAAATGCCCTTTTCCGTAAACATGTTGAAAAAATTGGTTCTTACATATTATGTCACCGTCATTTCGTATTTAAATGGACGATTTCAAATGATGATCCAAAATGGCCCTTCTCCTTTCAAATGTATATTCTTTTCATTAAATACGTTGATGCTACTGACAAGTTTTAATCCGAATCGAATTGTATGATGATGTAGATAAGTGGCAGCGAACATGAGCAGATAAAAGGTATTTTCATGCAAATGGAATATTTTAGTAGACCATTTCAACAATGATTTGGACGACTGTCCATATCCTATCTGTTGTATTTCTACACGTTACTGACTGTAACGTTGAGTGACCAAGTAATTAGGGTGACACTTAAATCTATTGTTAAATGAAGATAATGTGGATAGGCAGTTTGTATGTATTTTCACATTGTCCTTTGTCGTTTAAGAAAAATGAAAATGCTAATGAACTGTCAGTTCCTACTAACGAAACAATATACCTACCTACCTAACGAACCTTTCTTTTGCCACGAATCTGTAGGTAATAAGTGGAACGGTTTCGGAAATTGAAAATACTGATTTTCTGTCGTATTTGGTGTTAGATCAGGGGAAAAATGGCAACAACTTACTCTGTAGCTTCTAACAATTTGTTCATGATGCCTCGTTTTCTCCAGTTTGGATCAGTAGCCGCGAGCTTCACGTCCAGCACCTCTTCTTGATCAGGGAACTTCTCCCAAAGTTTGGCACCTTCCTCTCTTTGTGCTAAGACGTATAAAATTTTTGCGAATTTCGGGTTCTTACACTGTTGAGCTTGGCTCACGTAGTCGCTGCCATCGTCTGTCTGGAAATATAACATAAGTTATACCTATTACTTTCCATGACTATGACTTGTTAGTTTGACATCTGGATTTAGGTAGGTATTAGGTACTAATAAGGCTGATGGTAAGCGTCCAATACATCCGACCTTCGTGCAACAGTTGGTATTGTAGATCGAAAAATCCGACATTCTGCTACTGAATCGAGTCCCTATCAATGTTTGTTATTCTGAGACAGTTTACCATCTTGGATGTCTCGTATTTTGATGTGATAGATCTTTACTGAAATGTAAGTATTACTTTTCATAGAATTGACATTTAATAAGATCACAATCAACCTTTACTTCAACCCCTGTCACTTCTAACACGGAGAAGGTATGAATATTAATCACCACACTTTCTCAAAGCAGATTGGAGATTACTCTAACTTTATTACTAATTATAAATCTAGGTTTTAGATTAAGTAAGTAGCTCGAAAAAACCACATTGAACTTTTCAGTTTATGAAAACCCTCTCTCGTAGATGAGAAGCGAACACCTTATCATGGACCATAATCTGAGAGGACCATTACAAGATGAATAAATAATAGGATAATGTAAGCTTACTGGCTTTAAATTACACATTCCGCTGACAATTAGGCCAACGATTTTGCCATTTTTGTCGACTGCTTTGAAGGACCATCCGTTTTCATGTAGGTAGTGTGCGCAGTATTCGTCAAGCTCTGGACAGTTCCCGTCACTGCATAATCCTACTGCTTGGTTCATAGGTTCGTCGATGAAAAACGTCCTGCAAATAGGCAGATTTATTAAGATATCGGTATTCTACAGGGTTCCTGTAATGTGCCTGTAAATGTCCTTGAATGGGACGTGTGTGCGTTTGCTAGACTCTAGACTTGTCTTTTATGTTTTCTATCCTAACATTTGAGTGTCTTTCAACTTTCTATAGGACTTCGTAAATAAAACTGTGGACAGGGCCTTAGCAGCCCTCTCAGACAAATCTTAATAAGTTTATCTCGAAACGTTATTTTAAAGTAGAGCATGTGAGGTTTCCATGCGTGACTTACCTTCGCAGTAACTGGAGAGATTCCTCCGTATCTCCAGGTTGAATAGGTTTTATTTCGTAACCTTGGTCAGCCATTGTTTCTAAGATCCCTGAAAACAATTATAATGTTTAATTGTACTGTCAAAGCAAATATATGATACCTTTGTATGCATTTATTTAGTACTTAAATGTTATATTTTATGTCTTCTCGTCAATTGTCGCCTGTCTATTAAACCAACTAGATTTAAATATACCTAAGTACCTACGAAGGTAGGTACTGTAAACATAACACTCAATTTAATCCATCGAGAATCTACGTAAGTACCTTGGTACGATGAAAAAAATTTTTTTAATTAACACATTAATTTATATCACACCGAACAATATTTGTTGAAATATTTATCCATAGGTCTTAGATAAGTTCAAATTAACTACTACTTATTGTAATATTTTTACACTATTTTTTTTATGCCAGAGGTACTGATTTCGAAATAGGTTTGTTATCCTTTAAGTGTTAGTTTAGGTCAGTTTAGTCTGTTTGAGAACTCTAGTAGTTTCATATTTATGACAAACTGACAAGGCATACATGCAGCAACTTATCAGTTATAAATAGGTGTACCCATACGAGTCATAACATATTGTGAATAATGATAAGGTACTAGGACCTACTCGTCTTTGTTCCGGTTTGTTTTTTATGTTTTCGGTGATGTCATCGTTGCCTTCAACACAAGCTGTTCTATTGTAGACAAAAAATAAGTAAATAAGTAGTTATTTCGCTAAGCAACTGTGTAGAGTCTTGGTTATATTAAATTAGGTATTGAAGAAATCTAATATATGTAAGTAGGTTTCTTCTTCTGCTTCAAGCCGGGGAAGCAATACAGAGCAATAATTATTGCAGAAAGAACGGGATGGTTTTTAGTCGGTAAGAATCTGGCACTGCATCTGGTACAGGACAGGTCTCAGGACCTGCGTATGTAATATATATATATATCCCTCTCTCAAAGACTAGACATTTGGAAGGCGTACGAGGGGCTGAAGCCAACTCGTAGAGGCTTTTTGAACAACTTTAATAAGTATAAGTGAAATGGGACATGAGCTGGCAAAATTATATATACCTTTAAGCACAATGAAAGAGCACCCAAGAAGAATTCCCTGTTAATGCAGGACTATTGTGCAATATGGTAAAAAATAAGTATATCGCTATGAGTGTGGGTGGCTATGGACTGGTGAATGTGATAACTATGGAAAAACAATACTGATACATACGGTTAAACAGGCAGGGAGTGACTGGCAAACTCAATTAATGGGCCCCCGAAAATGTCAGTTACCAGCTAGCAATGCGGGGCAATCAAGGTTTATCTGCTTGGGGAAGGAGAGTCATCCCACGGCTATCAGAGTAAACCCGGAAGTATGGTTACTATTATGATGCGGACTTCCAGTTCCAGGGCATTAAATGCACGGATCAATGGCATCATTCTCTGAGATTTGTGTGATGTATATGGGTAAAATGTACCTACATAGGTACCTGGATAACTTCAAATCTATTGTTCGTCTATGCACGAAACAAGACATGGCAGGACAAATAGTGTATGCTTTTATAGTGATTACACTACTACAGATATTAATCCAGGCTTATTGCTTGACTTGCTAGGGTTTCCAAAATTACAAAACTGTTGATATCCTAGGTACCTGTTAGCCGGGGTTACGGGTTAAGCGCAATGAGTCACCGAGTCTCGGCCCAGAGCAAAAAAGGAACGGGGGTTTTTAGTCAGTAAGAGTCTAGCACTCTAGCTCTCGCCTTACCCTGGGTAGGAGAGGTCATTTGATGATTTTTTCCAGACAAAAAAAGTTAGGTACTTGTTGTTTTAAATAGGTAATATGTTTGCCTTAATAATCATAATTTGATTGTGATTGTATCTTATTCGTACATCTTAGTAAGTAGCAGATGTTTGACGCAGTTATCTGTATCCAAGTAGATAATGTCGTAATATCAGATACTCGTATCAATAAATAAATCTGATTATATACTTACTTAAAGGAATATAGGTACGTTTGCAAGGTTTTAATAATAAATGATAGGAAATATTGTTCAACAAATACTAAATGTTAGCACAGAATATTATATCAGGTATAAAGAAGAATAGCTTTAATTCTTAGTCGTAGGTAGGCACCAACGCACACTTAGCCGTGGTTCCGGGTGCAAGAGCAAACATGTACTGCGGCTCCGGAGCCCGGAACAGGAGGAACGAGGTAGTTTTTATTTAGTAAGAGTCGGGCACACCCTCAAGGCGGGAAAAGAAAAATGATTTTCCCGTCTCAAGAGGTACCTATACTTCTTACAGATCTTGTCATAGGTCATGATCTGTCTGATGTTTATTTTTGACACACATAAAATATTGAATAAAAAATGAATTTCATTATTTTTATCGTCGAGGCTATTTAAAAACGGATGAATAATTAAATTAGACTATCAGCAACGTAACGTTAGCTATGCTGTTCTAACAGCAAACATATATAATAACTTAATCTCAGTATTTAGCTTACCTATAAGCAACTCTTCGTAACTAAGTTAAGTAATCGAAAATACTGAAGTTCACTGCACTCTTAAATGTCAGCCGGAGACAGAAATCCGAAACGTGCAACCACAATCACTATTTATATAACAATAAATAATTTATTGTAGAAATATAATATTAAATTATTGTAATACAATAAAAACAAATCGTTCTAGCGTGCGGCTTGTGCGCAACTAGGTAATGTTTTGAACGTTTGCGCGCACGCATTTACATATTAACGGTGAAAGATAAAAATACTATATTTAAGGCGAATACACTAGAATGTTTGTTTATCTTATCGTACAATGTATATTTTATGTTCATATTATTAATGTTTGGTAGCTACAATGACGTATATCTAACCCGATAATTCTACAAACAATAATTGTGAATTCGATTCGGTAATCGCTAGTAATTTAATAAGAATACTTTTAAAGTTACAATTCATTCTTTTTTTATGTACCTATACAAATTAAAAAGGATGGTGTGTAACGAAGACTTTAGATATGCCATATGAATAACTCTCTCAATCAACCTTCAGAAGTAGAAATTAAACCATAAAAAGCTGTTCTTTCTTAAGATTTGAAAATGCTTTCCCAATCGCCACCACATAATAATTACATACTATTTTATTATTTTTAATTTGTGGGTTGACATAGGTGGGTTTTTTACGCTATAACAAGTAATTTTCGTTTTATGATATATTTCTCTTGGACTAATAAGCGTCAAACAAGATTTCAAAACCATGATGATCATTGCTGCTACTAACAGTGCCCACAATATTATGTAGTACGTGGAAACTTTCAGTGGCAAGAAAAATATCGAATATAAAATGTATATACATACTTACATTATTATTCTAGACTACCTCTGTCTCCCATCCAGTCAATGGTGAGACATCATAATCACCATCTTCATCTACATCAGCCACAAGTTCTTTCAGGATCTTGTTTCTCTTGTGTGAGTTCCGGCTGTTCCTGTAAGGATATCGGGATAAAAATTAAAAACTACTACATAATAGGAAAAATGTTTTCTATCGGTAAAACCTTTTCAAATTGGTTCTGTATTTTCATAAACCAAACAATATTTTTTTACCTTCATAGATAACAAGTGTAGATATGAGCCTTAACAACAATCTCAGGAGTGGGGATGTGTCGCGGTGACCGAAGCTTGGCGTCTCGAGTTGGTTTATTTACTAATCGTCGCGTGCGCCGCGAGATTTAAATACAATAAGTATCTAGTTACCGCCTAGTGACCCTTATTGTGAAGACATAAGAGCGTTTTTAAAATGTTTTGGTTCTTGGTCTGTATTCTTGTTATGTGTTATTGTGGACATCCTATCTCATAAGCGGTTTTCCAAAAAGATTTTCTCCTGATTTTCATACGATTTTCACTTTTCACTTATTAAACTTGCTACGTAGTAAAGGTGTTTTAGTTATAATATAAGACTTCATTGATTGTTTTTCTCCAATGTAAGAAGTGCTTATTTTGTTGACATAGAGTTTGTACTATTGGCGATATTACCTCCTCCAAGGCTCCTAGCATTGGGGCTAGGAGCTAGAAATCACCGGTAGTAGTAGTAGTTTCTCACTCTACAAACCAGGTCCAAACCAGGCCGTAGTGTAGAGTGAGAAAAACTGAATAGCCGTGTTCTCCGTCTGCGAAGCAGTTCAATATGCTTGCAAAGAAGGAACCCTTGCAGAGACATACCGAGCGTCGAACAGCGAGCAAACTTTTAAGTGTGGGAGAGCTATGCTTCAGCACGAATGGGTCGGCTCTACCGGAGTGATACCACGGCCTCACTGAAAACCGGCGTGAAACAAGCACAGCGTTGTGTTTCGCCGGCGGCTTTGGTTGCTTACCATCAGGTAATCAGCTCCTTTGCCGACCCATCACATAAAAAAAGTCGCCTGATCAGGATCCGAGTGCATGGATTTCACGCGCACTTTTGGGCCACCAGACAATTACAAATGGGTTCACCTCATATACCGTTTGTTCGGCAGGAGTTGTGGGTCAAGCGCAATGACTTACGGCGGCCTGCCTCTCATCAGAAGAAGAAAAGGGTCGTTTTTAGGGCGTGGGAAGTAATCGGATATATATTTTCCCCACATAAAAAATTTCTTACAGAAATTGTCGTGTATATTTTTGAAAGATTGGTCATTTATGTAGTCTTCATTTTCTCGCAAGTTCGTCTAAGTAGGAACTTTAATTTTAGGCTAGGGTAACCTTTAATTTTTGGTAGCAAAATCTTTTGTAATTATACTTAGCTATGTTAGGCCAGATAAGAGGTTTAAAATTTACAGACAGTATGTTGCTGTCATCAATTTGCTGTCTGTGTCCACTGACTTAACGTGTGAGCCATATGCGGTTCCTAGCATGTTTTATTTTTCCAATCCATCTGTTTACCACTGATGTTCAGTAACCAAGTTGCTTGGGTGACAATATACATAAATACATACGTTTGTAATTTTTGTTTCAAGATCAAGTGACTTTATAATTAATGAGATATCATACTTATCATTAGTGGTTGATTAGCTGTCGGTCCCAAATACCTTTCTCACTTAGATTTAGTATAAGTATATATTTTATGACGTCCGTTCTATGAGTACTCATACCTACAAATATTTCAGATTTAAGTATTAGTGACCAGGAGTAAGGACTAATTCAAACACACACATATTTACACTACCTACACAAATCAGGCTTTTCCGAAATGTGGGAGAGGCATAGTTTAGCACGAATAATACTACCGCATTACAGAAAACCATCGTAAAACAACACTAGCCTTGTCTCATTGTGTAAGTAAGTGAGGTAATCGCAGGCCCAGTTCTTTCCTTTCTCGTCCCTTATCCCCAATTCCTCAATTCCCCAATCAACAAAACTCTAGCAACCCTCAAAAGGGCGACAACGTGCTTGTGACTCATCCGTCCCGAGCATCGGCGCTGATTGTTTACCATCAGGTAAACCGTCTGTCCATTTGTTGACTTTTACTATAAAGAAACAAAAGACCATAGCATGACCAGAGCGTGCAGCGCATCGCGCGCCTTAAAGAACAGTCGGACAACCAAAGACAGGACTTATCAGAACTGATGCCCGGCTGGGTTGTTGGTTAAGCACAATTATACCAACGTATGTTAAGGCTCCATGAAGGAGATGGCATAGAATTATTTTTACTCAGTAAGAGTTTAACGGGCAAGTAGAATAAAACTGAAATTCTGCCAAATCCTTTACAGAGTATTTATGTATGTTCTACTAAGTGACTTAATTGTTTACTGAAATTATATTTGACAATGTAACGTTAATTAACCATAACTAGTTTCACTAATAAGTTGATTCAACATTTCAACACTTTATTTCGCTATACTGAAAAACGTGTTTTTTGGCGGTGAAAATCAACAATTGACTGCTCCCGCCCTGAATGGGGCAAGAGGGAGTTTAGACGCTAACTGACTAAAAAACGACGTACCTTCTTCTGATTCAGCTGAGCCGTTTTTCTTTAATGTATGAAATATTTCTCTTGAGAGGGAGGGAGTAAGTGAGACTCTTGACGACTAAAAACTTCTCCGTTTCTTCTCCTGTTCTAGACTGAGGTAGGTAGGGTCTTGCCCCTGAACCCTGAACTGAAGAAAACGTTGATGTTGTGCGTAAGCTAATTGAGGATCGACATGTGACATACCGTGAAATTCAGGCGAACAGGCATTGGTATGAGTCAAATACAATAAAATTGCATGAACAATCAGGTCGTGTAAAAAGTGGTTTTCCCGATGGATACCGCGTTCACTCTATGAAGTGTGCCAGAACTCTCGAAAGATTCCACGCAGGATCATCAAATGCTGTGTACAACATCGTACCAGGTGACGAATCCTGGATATAGGGACGCGTAAATATAAACCCGAAACGAAAAACCATAGTCACGAGTTTGGGTGGTCAAAAATTAATTAAAGCCTACCAAAATTGTTTCTTCACGGAGTGTTGCAAAACAATAATTAGTGGCCACGCTATTGTCTCCAAAACCAGCCACGTTGCTACTTTTCCTTCAGGGTCAAAGAATTGCAAAATGCTAGCATCATCCTTCATCACGACAATGTGAGTTCCTACACTGCGCACAGAACAAAACAGTTTTTAGAGAAAGAGAACCTAAGAGAACATAGAAATTGTCAAACAAATAATATTACCTACATCAAACACTTCAAGATACATATTGCTATCATGTTTAACTAGGCACCAGTCCATAAATTATGTAGAAGGGAAATATGATGGCTGTATAAAATAAAATAACCATATTGAAACATTTTTAAATAACACAATAATATATTTTATATATCTACTGTCTCCTGTTTAGTTTCTTAAATTTAAAAATAGACAGAGGTTGTTTTCTAAGTTTCCTTTTTTGCCAGGTACAAAGGTATAGGTACATAATTACATTCACATGAACTATAATTGATCTAATATTAGTTAGTCAACAAGAGTCTCACACTTAGGTTGTAGAAGTGATTTTACCACAATAAGAAAAAAAAGGCCGTTACGTGCGTCTGTCTTATATTATGCTCACTTGTTTGTGTACTCGAACGATGATAGCCCGCTACTCAAACGACGACGCGGCGTCCTGTTTTTAAGCAGGGAAAATCAGCAAATGATTTTTGCCGCCTTGACGAGAGCGAGTATCAGGCCCTTATTAACTAAAAACCACCTCATCTAATGCTCCGGGCTGCAACCACGCTACATTATTGCGCTGGAGTAGTACGTAAAACATATTAACGACATACTTCTCACTGCCGACAGTGCATTCTTCGTTTCGACTATCATACCCATAAATATTACATTTGCATTCATTTTTTTTGTTACCGACAAATATAAAATTTACCATTATGCTATCTTATCACTTATAGCGTATTTCAAATACTTTATAATTTTCAAATACTTACTTTTTCAAATACTCCGAATGTTTTCGCACATAGGTTAGTCTTTTTACACCACTCACCGGTATACAAAAAAAAATATTTATTATTACTCTAAGTTATCTATAAGAATTTGAAAAGTTGGTAATATTCTTACTTTGTAAGAAATTATAAAAAAAAAGAAGTGTCGACTGCGGGTCTTTTGTTTGGTAGACTTCTCCTCAGTGTTCGGCGATACGGGTTTCGTTGCGACTGATTTTCTGTGGACCTTCTTGGATATGCTACTCACATTAAGGATGAGACCATCGAAAAGAACGGGGGGCATTGGCAGTCTTGCTCGATATTTCGAAGGCCTTTCATAGGGTCTGGCACGATAGTCTTATTGGCAAGGCTCCAGCATATGGGCTTCCTGTTGGTCTGTGTAGAAAGATAGCAGTCTTCTTGAGGGATCAGTTAATTCGAGCAGTCACTGGTGGCTGCTCATATGATCAATTCCGTATGCAACGCTGGAGTTGCTGGAGGGGTCAGTACTTTCCGCTACTCTCTTTTTGCTGCACAATAATGACCTGCTTATGGTGGCATGTAGATGATAACACTGTTCAGTTGTAAGTTATGTCACGAAACTAAAAGTCGCAAGCTTGCTAAAAGCCTTATATTTCATTACGGATCGATATAAATACAGCCAATATGTTCGTAAAGTTAAACTGATTTCCTGAGTCTTTTTACAAGTAAATAATGAAGTCTATTATATTTTTGTTTGCCATTTTTCTCACATTGGTATTTGTTCTCTCGGAAGTGCAGACAAATTACCATGATGCCATCGGTATTCCTACTGCAAACCGTATAAAGGCACTGGAAGAAGAAATTCAAGCTAATAGAAATGTTACTATCGAGAACAGAATCATCGGTGGCGAGGTGGCTCCCTTGAACGAGTATCCATTTTTCGTACGTATACATAGTTTATCATCTTCAAGGACAAATATTTATTTAGTGTTGTCCATAGACTTCGATATAGAAGACTCTAGATCCCGTCTGCAACATTGTAATGTTTATAATTGCATTTTTTTGTATATTTCAGAACAGTAAGTTTTTTTATCGTGTTAAACTTAGGTACTTATGGTTTATTGGAAACCATCTTGTTTTAAATTTATTATTTTATTTAGTTGTCGTTTATAAATGTTTATATACACAGGCTGGATTAATTATCAGTTTAGTTGGTACACGAAGCTTGTCAGTATGCGGTGCATCTCTGTTGTCTCCTAACCGGTTGGTTACTGCTGCTCACTGCAAAACTGATGGCGTCAAGCTGGCGCGGAAGTTTACTGTGGTTTTGGGGTCTAACAAGCTGTATACTGGTGGTGAACGTATTGTTACTAGACAAGTAATTGAGCACCCTTATTATACGTATCGCCCACTTATACATGACATCGCTATAATATATTTGCCCCGGAGCGCTAAGATTACAAGTAAGTTACCGAGTACACAAATTTGTCCTATCTTATTAGTTATACAGGGTGTAAAAACACACTTAACGAAGCCGAAATCCACGTATTCTACCCATTATTTGGATCATTTTTCTTTAAGACCATAGCTGGGACTCCACGGGTTCTCGAGATATTGAAGGTCAAAGATGCATTTTTAATTTTTTTTGCGCAATCGAATTCAAAGTAGGTATTATTACAAAACTTTTTTCCAAAGAAACAAAACCTGAATTTTCGATTTTTCTAAATAAATTTACGCATTTGAAGTTACGAACAGTAATGTACGTAATAAATAAATGCAGACCCGCACAAAAAACATCGTGCATCTCAGTAGGATTTTTATTTTACAGAATTGTTTTGTTGTTGCGAAGTAAAACGTCGACCTACGTACTTATCACAGCGTTTTAATGCTAAGCTGTGAATCTACGCACACAATGACACGAAGCCCGTTTGCTTTACATTGCGCGCCATATTTTTTTTATTTATACCTAAATATAAAAGTCGTTTACCAATGATAATTTTAAGTAGTTAACGGCTTCGTTAAGTGTATTTTTACACCCTGTATAATCTTTCAACAAGTCCCCACAGAATGTTGATTGTTGCAGATATTGTGAAACCGATCAGATTACCAAATTATTTAGAGTCATGGAAGCAATTTTTGGGATTTAGTGCTGTGGCTATTGGCTTTGGAAGGACTAGGGAAGGTAAGTTGACACTTTTTTATTTTAATTGTAAAGCTGCAAACACACTTTCTTACATTTCATTATACTCGGAGTGGATATATTTATTTTTGTGTAAGTATTTTAAGCGACATCAAAAAAGTTTGATGAATGTTTCGACCTCGACAATATCATCAAAATTTTTGTTTTATACATACCCATATTCTTTTTACTACCGTTATTTATTGCGAAAAAAATATTTATATTTATTAGATTAACTGCGAATGTTTGGAAACACAAACTAATCGTAATAATTATTTTTTAGAACAAAATACTAGTATTGAACCACGTGTGTTGAACCATGTCAAGCTACAAGTGGTTCAATGTCCACTCAAAAATGGTTCAAACAGACTGAACATTGACATTCTCTGCACGACTGGATATGGAGGCGCTGGTATTTGTTTTGGAGACTCAGGTGGCCCTCTGATCATCAATGACGTTACAGGAAATCCATTCTTGGTTAGTTATTAGATAAAAATCTTATGAAAATAGTTGTTACTACTTGTTAATTTCATGCTTATTTATGGGCGTATGCAGACGGATAACCTGATGGTAAGCTTCAGCGACGCTCATGGGCGCCCGTCCCACCAGGGAGCTACAACTGCGTTGCTGGCCTTTTGCAAGTTTCGGATTTAGGGAGGGGGGGATGATTGGCATCTGGTAAACTCACCCAGAAATTTGCTAAAATATGCAACACCAGGGTGCTATAAAGGATCGGGTAAGCTGTTATAGAAAAGATAAGATCCTACTTTCAGGAGTAGATTGAGGTCATGGCGTCCTCACCTTCCACTAAACGCAGGTGCTTACCGAGCACGGCAGCTTCGGTAGGTTCCTGTTTCGGATCCAGCGGGAGGAAACGCTATCATTGTGAGGACCGCCTAGAGGACACGGTGGCGGTGTGCCCTGCTTGGGCTGAGCACCGCCGTGTCCTTAGGGAAGTGATAGGCGGCGGCGTCCTCTCGTGCCCGGCCTAAGTCGAGGCCATGGTGAGGAGCGATAGGAACTGGGAAGCTGTCTGCTCTTTCTGCGAAGCAGTTATGCTCGCAAAGAAGGAGGCGGAGCGCGTGAGAGAACTACCGTCCTCCCCACGCCCCAACCGCCGCAGTAGGCAGCACTCTGAGCGCAGGATACAGACCCGAGGTACGGCGCGTAAGGTTCCGCGCGCGTCTCAAAGAGCCTAATAGACCACCATAAATGGGGCTAATGTTTAGCCGGGGTTGCGGGTCAAGCGTAATAAGTTACGGGGGTTTTAGTCAGTAAGAGCCTGACACTAGGGCGGGACAAGTCATTTGATGATTTTCCCCTCATAAAATGGAGTAAACAAAATATTTTTCCGTATCATATGAAAAAAGTTTTTACGTTCATTGCTGAACAAACACACTGTCAATTTATGAAGGAAACGTTTTTTTTTTATTTTGCAGGTTGGGATTTCTTCTCATGGATCTGGAAAAACTTGTGCAGAGGGTTCAAGTTACACCCGAGTCTCAAGTTACTTGAATTTCATCGTTACTCACTTGAAAAATTAAACAGAATAAATAAATAAATATAATAAATCTGCTTTAACTGGTTCTAATTTAGTTTCATTCTTCTTCATTTGCCGAGAAAAATCAAGTATTAAATATAAATTAGCAGCAAGGTGCAGTGTCATGGTGGTCGACTACTGTAATTACAATTACCTATTTGTCTTCTAAAGTGAGAGGAGACATTACAAAATATGGCCAATTTCTAAAATGTAGCTTCTATTATATTAAAAATGTATTGTTTAGTTTTTAACTCTTTCTCCTGTATTTATTTGGCCACACACAGTGTCTTGTGTCTCTCACAGTTCAATTTAGGAGTTCTACAGGAAGATATTCCAAATAGGAAATTATGAAGAATATGAATGCCCAGAATTAGGGTAGGTAGGTATAAAAAATAGACTAAAAGTAATCTTATTTAATTTATTGAGATAGAATAATATATTTACAAACTACTTACATCACAATAAACTGATTTAGGTAGACAGTACATCTAATTACAATTTTGATCTTCTACTTGGGATAATATTAACTAATAATTTAACATTGATTCGAATAGTCAAGAGAATTTACATAACAAACTACTGGTGTGTATTTTTTTCTACAGTAATAATTTATACAACCAACAACACCTTTATGCAGTGGTACATTTAGGTTTTACAATAAATTACTATATTTCTTCTAAATTCAACAGTTCAATTTGCTACTAAACGTCCAGCGTGTATCCAAACTCTTTTTTAAAAATATGTATATATGAGTATCTAACCGATTTTCAATAACATTACATTAAATATTACTAATTTGAAGGAACTACTAAAACATAGCTAAGCTACATCATGAGAGAACCTACTAAAAATGTTACATCAAACACTTTTTAAGATACATATTGCTATTATATTTAACTAGGCACCGCTAAATAAATTCTATTTAAATTATGGAATGGAAATAACTGCGATGCCTGTTGAAAATAAAATAAGCATTAACATATTTTAACAACACAATAACATATATAAATATTTTAACTAACCACTGTCTTCTGTTTAACTTCTTAAATTAGAAAAGTAGACTCAAAGAGTGCCTTTTATCGTTTCCAAGCTTCTTCGCCAGGTACAATGATATAGGTACATAATTACATTAACATAACATAAAATAGTCCTTATACTTATTAGTTATTGTGCTTTCCTACTGCAGTAATTTTCTATTCGTGCAGTAAACTGTGCAATAGATGGAGTCGATTGCGTTCTTTGAAACTTATCTTCTTGCTGTGATATTCTGTAAAAAGAAAGTTTTTTTTGTCACTAATATAACCAACTAAGAATATATTAATATTTTGTTTCTATTGTAAGTAGACAGGTGGTGTTGCAATGAAACTTAGTAGGTAGTAAGTCAGAAACGCAAGTTCTTTGTTACTGTTATAGGTATCTAAAATTGTCTGTATAAGCTGAAATTAAGCATACCTACTCCTGATCATTTCAGTTTTCAGGCTTTTAAACTTTCATAGTTAAAACGGGGACTAAACGGTTACAAACTTGAAGGTATAATATTTTTGACAAGCTTTGTAGGTTTCTATAACATTTCTGAGAGCCTTACCTTACAGCGGCTTGATAAAGACGCTGGCAGCAAAATGTGGTGCTTTGGGTTGTGGTGCATCAGGCAGATCCTTGTACAGCACGGAGTAGACTTTCTTGTAGCCCAGCCGCTCGGCTGCGCGAGCGGAGAAAGCCGATGTGGCGTCCATACGAATGGCCCCAGCTCCACGAGCTTTCGCAATACGCCTGTAAAAACGGAATAGGTGCTTGTTAGATTTTTCAAGGTATTGGCCTATTAACACACTCAGTCCCACCGACTTGCTCAGAGGGTCGACGTAAATTTTTTATTCCAGCGCAGTGGATTCGCCTGGCGAGTTCAACCTTCATCCGATATATATCATTGTGAAAATCGTAGTGGTAATGAAAGTGTTAAACCAATTTAATGACTCTAGATTACTAATCCTCTTTCCATTCCCTATTCTTCGACCATTCCCAATCTGTTAATCCCTAATCTCCAGTCCCCAAGGTCGGCAAGATATTTGTAACTCCTTTAGTGTTGCGGACTTGCGTGTTGTTGCGACGCTGGATGCTTACCATTGTACAATTAGGTGAAACGTCAAGTCTCTTGGTGATCTATTGTTTTTTTTTTTCGTTAAACCATTGATTGCGTTATTTGGAAACTAGGTATGCACGGGTTTCAAATCCTCGCATACGTAGGTGAACGTTTGGAAATTAAGTAAATAATTATTTAGTAGATATATTGGGATGTAGATAGACTTATTGTTTTGATTAAAAATTCCCACTTAAAACTACGTTAGATTGCAGCTTGTACCGAAATACAGAAATGGATTTCGATATTTAATCAGCTGTGCCTCCTGGTTTAACATTTGCAGTTCGTAGCTTATGTTCACTAGGGAAGTGTAGCTTCCCAATGATAAAATATCTATTTAAATCGGTTAAGTGATTTCGGGGCCTTTTCAATCCAAATAGAGTCGAGTGCCATAACAAAGAAACAATGTAGATTGCGGAAGGGCACACATCTAATTATTTTGCAAATGTGGCGTTGACAAATTAACTTCACAATAAAATAAGCTAATAATAGTCTATTAAAATAATAATAGCAATCTAATCATGTACCTAACTGAATATTTTTTGTTGCTTTTAATGGTTAATACAAAGGAACTGTAGTAATTTATGTCCTATGACATATTTTATATTATTTTTGTTGTTTTTCTTCCTTGTTATCTGTAGTTAAGGACAAACAATGTATTTTTTAATCACGACAGCGTGAAGGAAGCAATCTTACGTGTAATTAGGGACTAATTATACGTAAGTATGCATGTAGTTGTTTGCAAATTGAAATCTATTTTATTGTAAAGAAATAATCATCCTTTTGGACGCAAACAAAACAAACGAGATTATATCGATTGTTATCCAGGTATTTCCTGACAGATTCCTGATTCAATCGAAACGTAGGTAGGTCTAACACTTTGAGACAGAGACTGACCTCTGAGTTTGGTGCGGCATTTCTTCTCAGAGAAGTCAGATAGAAAAATGCCGGCTTCATCTAATTTTTCACATATAAATTTACGTGTAAAAGTACCGTTATATGACCAATTTGCAAAAATAAATTCATTGTTTTATTGAAGAATTTTCCTAATTGCTTAGCGAGTAATAGGTACCCAACATGCAATCCAGAATATTGCTTATCATAAACCTGTGGGTCGCACATTACATAAACATTGAGTAACACATGTCACAACCGTCTCAACCATGATGCCCTATTTATTTCAATTGATCGTCAACAATCATGCATGGGTATCATTCCTTTATAATGTCTTATGTCAAGATCACTCATTGTTTTGATTATTGATGTTAAGAAAACATTAGTTTACATTTTTATTATTATGTGATAGGACGGGAAACAAGCTGATGTTACCTTATGGTGAGATATCGGCGGCGCTCATGGACACCCGCATAACCAGAGGAGTTATGGGTGCGTTGTCGGCTTTTTGGAGATTCAGGAATTGGGAGAGGGGAAGGATTGAGCCTTATGGCGAAACACAAGGGTGTGTTTGTTTCACGTCGGTTTTCTGTGAGTCTGTGGTATTACTCAGGTTGGGATGACCCATTCGTGCAGGCATACATATAATGTGCAGTACATAGGTACATATAGGCCTCATCCCTTTCTTGCTAAATAACTCAATTTGGTGCGTCTATTTCTAGTCAGCACTGGCTGTTTTCACCTTTGTGGATTTTCATAGGTATTTTAAATTACAGTTTAGAGATCATTAAATTAAATCTTTGCCCCTGTATTGGTTTACTTTTAGTATGTGTACAACAATATCAAATTGTCTTCAAGTTCAAAGAATTAAATAGAGTCTCGTGACGAGCTCGTCCTAGCGATGTGATGTTGTAACAATAAAATTACACAATACTATGTACGGACATTGTTATTATTTCATATTAAATGGAACAGGGAACTTATGTGACTAATTTAAGGTTGTTTTTACGTAAACAAATGTTGAATAATATGGGGCTTTTTGCTTCTAGAAGGGCTAGGCAAGATAAGAGTATTTGTAAGAATTTTATACCGTTGAAGTGTTTGGTGTTTGAGATGTAGGTTCAGTGTATAAATAATAGAGCGACACCTAATCAATTAGGTAGGTAAGTTCGCACTCGAATCGAACTCGAAAGAAAAAAAAGAAAAGAGATGATAGCATACCTATTTAATAAGTACATAATTTTTATATAGTATCTAACTTAACTGAAACTCACGCATGACAACATTTTCTGACTAGAGTCCTTGTTTCTATTACCTACGTATTATAAATATCTACTTAAGCATGAAATTATTCTCAACAGATAAGTAGTCTTACCGTACCTAGTCCTGCCCTACTATCGTAATAAAAATTGTGCATAGTAAAATTCAGTTCATTATAATTTAACATTACACTTTACTATAACACTTTACATATACAAACTCTTATATTACTTATACAGCGAATATTTATTATGTAAATTGCTCAATCGGTTTGTGTATGTTTAAGCGAATATAATGTTATAATGCCTCGTTAATTATATATTGAATTATTGTTAATTCATGCCTGAGGCAGGGTCACACATGAATCTAGCCCGTAGCCTAGACTTAAATAAATACTATAAAATATCAACTAATACACCTAATTACTTGGTTTACGACTTTATTAAATTATTATAACCAGTACAAACGTGCCAATTACCTATGCAAATTAGTGGAAGATAGCAAAGGCGATATGTAAACCTAAAGATTTTTGATTGTTTTGTTTAAACTCGCTTTTCTCCGGAACTACTGGTTCGAGTTTGAACAATTATTTTCGTGTTAAATAGTAAATTCTATATTTAAATGATACTGCAGAAAAGACAACAACTAATAAAAGGAGATTCAGTTGCCATAATAAAAAAAATGCTATATCTATTTATTTGGGCTGGTGTTTGACATAACGTCGTGGTTGACCGGGAGGTTAAGGCATACTATCTTATTAGTTTGGTTAAGGCGCCCGCTTCTAATGTATGAGAATGTGAGTTCGAAACTTGGCAAGTACCCATGTGACTTATATGAACTTTCTATGATTACATAGATACTGTGAAAGAAAACATCGTGACGAAACCTGGACTTATAAATTCTAATTATAAGTTTGCCAACGAGGGTAATAATACTCAAACCTTCTCCGTGTGAGAAGAGGCTTTTGTTCACTAGTGGATACTTATATGTAAGCTGACTATGATGATGATGATGATTGTGTTTGCCAAATCTCAGTGTTCATTTCATTTGAGTTCAGTTCGTTCACCTAAAGTTAAGTTGACTAAAGTGCGACTTGAACTAAAGTTAAGTTGAATCAACAATTATGATTAACTGTCTCTTTAGTTACTAAAGAGACCGTTGAAACGGTGATTAACAATCATCACCACCTACCTATTTTTATTCATACGACAGTAAGTACCTAATCGGGTTTCGACATTGATCGATAATTGTGGGGTGACTAAATGGACGTTAGAATCAAGAGACTGCAATGAGGAACCAACTCGCTGACATGTCACATAGCCTTCGCAATTCATATTAGTAAGAAATAACTAAATACTTCCTACAACAAATATTACATTGATTGACTAGCCTGGACTAACAGCTGATACTAGCATTTCTAAAATATAATGCAGATATTATGAATTAACATTCTTTTATCCGTTATAAAAAATCATTGTAACATTCCCGTTTTATATAGTATATCGCGGGTTATATATGGAAATGCATACATTTTTATATTATATACTAATTTAATAGAAGAGTTTCTTTGTTTGCTTGAGCGCTTTAATCTCCGAAACTACTCGTTTGATTTGAACAATTAGTTTTGTACGGGATAGTCCGTTAAAAGAGGAAGGCTGAAGGCCACAACATCATGCTACAACTAATAGGACTTGTGGGTTATAGTGGGTGAGCCAAACTCCGTGCTATTGGGTAATCAGGTATACGAAAAAATTTACGCTCTAGATTAACTATCTACAAAACTTTTTTATTAATATCTGACTTCATTATAGACAGAAATACTTGATTTTAAAAAGACCGAAAAAGTGCGAACGACTGACATTAAACTTTAATTTCAAAAGAATTTTATTTCTTGTTCAGTCTCTCGTCTTTCCACTTTGTACCGTTACGGTAGTAAAATTTTGTTTTATTAGTACTTTGCACAACTAAGTTAACATAAATTATATTCTGAGACTAACACAATAAGCGTACTTAAAGTAAAAACATTTTTGTAAATCTATTGTTTAGACACGTTCTTGCATAGTTTATAGCTAATTTACGAGGCTTGGCTTGTGTGCCTAGACGAGTGTAGGATAAGTATGTGATCATTTAAAGTAACAAAAATAATTTATTAAATCGAAATTAACATACAGATCTAACATCCAGGGAATAATTTTGACAGCAAAGGAACATACGGATGACCTGATGGCTCCAGATACTAGGGACCGCCCCGGCTCGGCATGAGTGCAATTCTCATACTTATCATGAGAATTACACTCGTGTGTCTATTTAATGGGTGTTATTATACATATAAAACTTTCCTCTTCAACTGCTCTATTTAATATAAAAAACACATCAAACTTCGTTGCGTAGTTTAAAAGATTTAAGCAAACATAGGATGTACAAAGATAGTCTCTGTTTTATACTATGTAGTGTTTTCAGCAAACGAGATGACGAATCAACTCATGGTAAGCAACCGGCGCAGCCCATGGACCCTTGTAAGGACCAGTAATTATAAGCACGTTGCCTTTAGTAGGGTTTTAGAGATTTAAGAATAGGGGATTTGAGCGCGTTGTCGTCTTTTTGTTGGTTTTTAGGGAGTTGAGGATAGGGAGGAGAAGGATTAGGCCTCCAGTAACACACACAGCGAAACATAACACAAGTGTAGTTTCAAATACGGTATTCTGTGAGGCCATGGTGTGCACCTCATTTCGTGCCAGCTCATAAGCGTAAAAAAACGGAAAATTTTATTTAACGAAATACGCATATCAAGATTCACGTGTGATATAGTTGAGTGACCAAACTTCTATAAGTATATCAAGCAAAATTTCAGGTCACAAGAAATTAATAAAAACATAACACCTTCTAGGACGAACCGTCAATCATTTTAATTGCGTCCCACAAGTCCTACAAAACTTGAAGATGTTATGTTATGTGATATTATACAATTTGCGCATATACCTACCTATTACATAATGTCTCCATATGCCTACTCGAACAATAACAATACAATTACCCATCCAACAGATGTCGCGTTATGACAGATGAATTCTTTGTGCTCGTAATTATGATGTTATTATCTTTTGTGACGTATTTTTTGTAATAAAATTGTGTTTTGTTTATGGAAAATATCCTTCTATTAATAGGTTTATTGTATATTAAATTAAATAATAGGCTCTTGACAGGCAAGTTTTGTCGTTGCTACAATATGGTAGCTAGCATAGTACGCGTAGCGCTACGTTACGATACAACAGACCCTACGCCCCCCGCCGCAGTAAGAAAAATATATATATATATATATTTAAGTGCGGTGCTATTTAGTAGTTTAATTATTAAATTTATCGACATATAATATTTTTACTCAAAGGGTATTCCAATTTACTTATATTAAACAGTCGTCTAAGAACAGTAGGCCGCATTAAAAACTGTTGCTACTAAATATTTTTTTGGGATCATACTAATTTGGAGTGTATGTTAAGTAGACAGTGTAATACGTTACCTTAGGTTAAAACAGATCAGAACACATTTTTAATTAAACAGTTGGCCAAAAAATCTTTTAAATGAGTCATTTTGTAATTCAACTTCTGGTAGTTTTTTGAGAAAATTTGACAACAAAACATTACCAACGTATTTGTTATGTATAGGTATATATGCACTAATATTATACAATCGGGTACCGAATGATATAATAAATTGCACTGCAATAAAATGATTCCACAAACACAAGTCACAAGGACTTCCGTAGTTATGCGCGATCATTATAATAATTGACCAATGGCAATTAATTGACGAGTGTATGTAGGTACATGTTATATTGAGACTAAAAAACTGGAAAATGATTTATGTCACGATTTTATGAGAATTCTAGTATAAGAACATTAGCAGGGAAATACGTGAATGACGTTAAGCAAGATTTTCCATAGGTGAGGTTTTTAGCAAACCCTTCTATGCTACCTTCTTTGATGCTCAATCTAGTAAAGGACTGCTACCTATAGATAGGCAATTCTTGCTGAAGTTATGATACCCAGTTTTTTTAAATCTATGACGTAAAAATGAGTCGCTCAATGTGTTGCTAATCGTCGAACTCGAGAACAGCTAAATCGATTTCAATATTTCGTTTATTATTGTCAGTCGAAGGATTTAGTATTAGAAATGTCTCGTTTCTCATAACTCACCGATGTTCAACTACATCCGTGGGACGCAGGGGCGGTGTAGTTTAAAATATATCCAAATCCTTTTTTTTTTAATGTAACTCTACGTGTTTCAACTCACATCGGGACTCTTATGAATCCGCAGCTTGCTCGTCGCAGCGAGTGTCAAATTCTTACTGACTAAAAACCCCCCGTCCCTTCTCCTGCTCTAGGCCGAGACTGCGGTACCTTACTGCGCTTGATCCACTTGGACAAATATCCTGTACCTTTTATTAAGCTACTTGTATTTGATAATCCTAATTCAAATTGATATTGGAACTTTTTTTGTAAAACTTATTAAGTAGCTATATAGTACTTATAAATACTAAAAACATTTAATTAAGTGTGAGTTCCGGTATTAATTCGACTAATAGGAATACTTTTTTGCTTTTGAGAAAAACATTTGGATAATTATCATTTTATTATTGGGTCTCATGTCAATGACCGGATGGCTTGTATTGATTATTGTGTCAGTAGGGAATGCGTTTTTCTAGTACTTTTTTATTATAGCGACTAGCTTTTGCCCGCGTTGGGGGTAAAATAATAGTTACTCAAAATCCTTTCTTAGCGGATGCCTACGTCATAACATCTACCTGCATGCCAAATTTCAGTCGGATCCGTCCAGTGGTTTGGGCTGTGCGTTGATAGATCACTACCTATATATCAGTCACCTTTGAGTTTTATATACCTATTTAGATTAATTAAAGTATTATTTCGTAGATTTAGATATAAGTCTGAAGCGACAATAAGGTATAGATTAAGCCAGGTTTCCAGTTTTTAATAATTGTGTACTCGTTATATATTTTTTCAGATATAAAAGAAAAGAAAATCACTTAGATTTCGCAAAATAATCAATGTGTGGAGTTAAGCGTGGCTTTGCTATAAGCAGCAAATACACGTAAGTGTTTTACCATATAACCTCTATAGGAAAGGAAAATCCGGCCATTTTTTCTATCATCTCCAATCCGGATATGACACCTGTTTGCCGGACGAAGTCATGCTTCGACACGAACAATGGAGCGGATAAGTTTGACTGTGCAACCTTGACTTATAATCATGAATGTCTTGGAATTAAAACGGGTCTGTCTAGATATGAGATAACTATCATTTTTGTTTATCACGATTACAGTATTAACATGGCGGTCTAAAATTAATCGCGGTTATTTTATTAATAAAGTTTCAGGTTATTTTTATATGTAAGTATGTATACAAAATACAGGTTTAGAATGTAAATGGACACAGTTATTTTGTTAGGCGTTATTTTATTCGTCAGTTCCTTGGTTTTTAGGTTGACTTTATAGCCTAAATCATGAACAATAATACGTAGTTATGTTGTGCATAAATTGTTAGTCTCTTTCTAGGCGTAAACGCCTTGGATGAAGTTGCATGCTAGTGGATCCTCACGTTATATTTAATGTTTTTTATATCTCAATTTTATTCAATTTTTTTTTATTTTATATTAATATTTATTTTTAATTTATTTCATTTTTATTTTGCCATGAATTTTTATTTCTTAATGTGAAAGAAAGAAAGAAATCTAATTGTGTAATATTGTTATTGTAATTGAATCTGTAAGTCTGTGTCTGTTTTACTAACACTAGTTGTATAAGAAAATTGTAACTAACCATTTATGAGCTCTCAGCTTGAAATAAAGATTTCTATTCTATTATTGACATGGACAGAAATCTAGGTAGAAAAGAGGACCAATAAACGATACCTACCAGAATTATTCAAAAGACGGTTCAATATAAACAGAGTAGGTGAATAGTCTCCCGAATAATAATTTCTGTGAAACGTTTTCATAACTAAATTGTGTTTTCAAGAGACTATTGTTCAAAATGACTGTCAAGCACAGATAACCAATTTGTGCCAAGCTTTGAATTGAAAACAAGAGAAAACTTTATTTGGCATTCAATTTGAAATGTTAACTCTGAGCCATGTCAAAACATAATTTTGTGAACAAATATACGCTTTATATTTAAATAGAGAAATACATGAGGTAACAAATAAGCTATCGTCTTCTTTTCATTCCTTTGTATTTAAAAACAGGTTACAATGAAATAATTGTCTTTCGAGGTATATCGTCAATATGTTACAACATCGAAACCCTTTAAGAATATTTTTGCCCCATAATGTGCATACATACTTATTTCATAGTAGACTTCAAACTCTAACTATGTTTATCAGCGGATCGTAAACCTGTTTGCTATCTCGGTAATATAAAAAATAATAGGACACTTACTCTGATTCTTCTGCCAGCACTTTCATGATACGTCGTCCTCTCCACTCGGGGTGTGTGGATGCTATTCTGAGTTCCATCATAACGTCACAGCTGGCCGGTACCTTCTCCCAGACCTTAGCCTCGTTGCTTAAGTGGGTCAGTAGCCGGAGGATGCGCTTGAATTTGTGATGGGTGCATTCTTCTGTTTTGTCTTCTTCAACGTCCTTTTGAGAAGGATTATATCATAGTTAGCTCATATCATCAGGGATAGTGCAAAACCACGTGTCTCGCATTGGATATATCCGCAAATCAAATAATAACATATCAAATCAAATAATTTAGATACACAATATTATCCAATTTGAGGTTAGCAGTTAACAGTCAGATACGTTGTTAGTAGACAAATAAACCTTTTTTGGTTGGTAAAATGCTGAACACAGTATTACTGGCAGTAGTAAGTAATCATGTAGGTATGTTTATACATAAAGCATCAAATAAATAAATCACAATATCCGTTTTATAATGAAAGCTGGCAAAGTCGTAACTACTACACCATTCCAACTTTTTAAATTAAACCTCCAGCCTGTTCTACATAAATATTTGTCTATGCGCTTTATAACCTATGCTAGCCTAGCTTTTACACGTTTATACTTTTTTAAATGTCGGAGAGCCATGCTTCGGTACAAATGGGTCGACTCGACCGAGGTCATACAACGGCCTCACAGAAAACTGGCGTGAAACCATCATAGCGTTGTGTGAGTGGGGTTACCGGGCCCAATACGGGAAGAATTGAGCCTCCTCCCTCATCTGTCTCTAATCCCTAAATCTCCAAAAGGCAGGCGACTCGTAACTGTCTAGTGTTCTGTTGCGAATGTAAATTAGCGTTTGTCCGTCTGCTTGTTAACCTATCACAAAAAAAGGGCTGCCAAAAGGCCAGTTTCCGCATTTTTCCGTGACTGCGATGTCGCGGAGGTTATTAGTCTGATTTCAATCCCGTCCTAATCAACAGAGCGAAACGTCTCGTCAAGCAGAACCCTTTCGTTTTCGCCCTTGAGTCGGTATTAATTGAGATAGAAAATTGAAGACATTCAGCAAAGTCCTTGACATAAGAGGATTTATTGCCATGGGAACGAAGATTGGAAAGGAATCGCGTTTCTTGGAATTATTTCACTGTTTGCAAAACAGCTCGAGACTAAATGGATAGATGAAAGGGAAAAAGTGTTTTAAGAGAGTATCAGATAAATCTTTGGCGCAAATATACAAGAGTAGGTAATTGATATAAAACTGAGTTCAATTTAATTAATGTACTACGAATTGTTGCCCGTATAACGTCTTATCGATTTTCTTGTGCTCGTAAATGAAAAGTTTAAGCTCGAGAGATGTCTGGCCGCGTTCTATATTAAATTATGAAATGAGATTTTAAATCAAAACTTGTACGGCTTGTGGTCGTATTACTTTGTGTTTTAATTAACGCTTCTAGGTAACAGTATCGATCGTTCAGAGCTTCGGTTAAAAATGGAAAAGAACTGGAGAATTATACGATGTTGCTGTGTTTTTTGTTAGAGGTTTTGATCCTTTTTTTGGCAAACGAGTAGGACGACAGACACTTGCTATACGAAAGGAGGTACTACAAGTGCGTTGCTAGCATCTTGTGGACTGAGGTTAGGGGGGGGAGGAGGATTGGGCTTCCTGCAATGCTTACACAGCGAAACACAACGTAAGTGTTGCTTCACGCCGATATTCTCTAAGGCCGTGGTATCACTCTGGTCGACCCGGCCCATTCGTAACGAAGCATGGCTCTCCTACATTTAAAAACTTTTGTATCAGGTAATCATGAAAGGATTGCGGATACAATAGCGTTAGAACATCTGTCACTTCGTCGTAAATTCTGCCATAATGGTGAACACGAGGTACAAAATAGGAATCACAATGTACATAACTGTATTGAACTGATTGCTAAATACAAAGTTAATTAAAACTGGATTGTTCCGCGCTGGGTATCAACACCTGCGCGGAAGTTCATTGCTATTATTATCCTATACAACGTGTATTCTATCTTATTGTTTCAATAAAAGAATGTGATTGGGCGACCATATTAGAGGATGAAAATAGTGTCACTCTCTGTACATACAAAAAGCGTATTACATAGTTAAAAAAACACGAAAACACGACACTACACAAAGTAGTAAACAGGTTGAAGTCCTTTTGGTACTGATAATTAACCGCCTTCAAAAAAGGAGGAGGTTTTCAATTTCGACGCGGATTTTTTTTTAAAGTTTATCTACTTATTTCGTAGATATAGAAATACTTTTTCGTTATTGTAAATAGAAGAATTTTCTTGTGAGGTCATCATCAAATGTCTTCTCACGCCCAGGGTAAGGCGAGAGACAGAGTGACAGACGCTTGCTGACTAAAAATCCCCTGTTCTTTTTCCTACTTTTGGCCGAGGCCGTGGTGCCACATTGCTCTTACCCCGCAACTTCGGCAAGCAGAAGACTAAGTCTTCTGCCATTTTTGAAAAAGATAAACTTACGTTTCTGTTAATAATAGCGTTGATGACGACTCCAACGAATTCTCCATTATCGTCTACCGCAGCTAATGATACTCCTTGGTCCAAGGAACTGGCTGCGTATTCTTCTAGATCGATACACCGACTCGTTGGGGTCTCCAGAAGATTCACTGCTAGATTCATCGGCTCATCACGGAAGAAGTATCTGCAAAGGATTTAGAGTTTAGTCTAGAAATAAAGTAGAATTGTAAATTATATTTGCCTTCCAACTTTGGATCAGGTTTAGTTAGTTAATTTCAACCAATTTCTTGACTCCAAATGTCAAGAAATTGGTTGAAATTTCATTTTGAATAGATCATGTGAAGCTGCTATGTATGCGCCATAGATTAGTTTCAAATTTATTTATTTTTTTGTAACAAAGTGTCTTCCTTCCAATTTTCTATTCAAGTATCGCGTATGCGAATGTAAACAAATATTAATTTATAATATTTCAAAAGTGACCTAGCCTTAATTGACGGTATTTCAACGAGAGACGATACGCATTGTATGTCTCTGGATGCCGCAAATAGACATGGCACTATTTAAATTGGTCAAAGTACAGTTCTAGGGCGTACTATTTGAGAGACTTTGTCGTAAATACGTATGCAGAGCACAATATCATATTTGCAACGTTTGTTTACACCTATTGAGTTGAGTTGTAAATACATGTATCTTAACTGCATTTTTTTTTAAGAAGGACATGGTAAGAAGTCGTTTCTTGACTTTCTTGTTTTACTGTGAGTATTAATCAATTTGTGGATCACACAAAGTGTTGTTCCGTGCGGGAATCGAACCCGCGATACGTTGCACGGCAGCCAGTTGCCCAGCCACCGCACCAACCGTGCCGCCATCTACTACTACATCCCCAATTTCAACCAAATCGGTCCTACCGTTTTTCTTCAAAGAATAACAAACATATAGCCTCATAAACTTCCACATCTACCTATACTCTATTCTAATAAAATAATATATTAATATATAATAATATCATAAAGCTGTAGAGTTTGTTTGATTGAACGCGTTAATCTCCGGAACTACTGGTTAGAATTGAACAATAATTATTTTTGTGTTTGTTATTCCATTTATCGAGGAAGGCTATAAAACATAGTTAGTTACAAATCGTAATCGTCAAACAGATTATAATATTTAGGATAGTAGAATTCTAGTAAACGCCAATCCGTGTTATGTTGAGTAACTACCAAATCCTCCGTTCTCCAAACTGATCATCTTTTTAATACAGAAAATAATAAAGTTTTTCGGATATTTATTGGTTTAATTGTTCAACAGGTAAAGTGTAAGTGTGACCTATATTCATGATCGAATCTTTGAATGTTTTGTAGTATCATGTTAAAGGTAGATGCATTTTATATGATTGTGTTTAAGTCGGGACAAATGCGTCGGCTCGACCGGAGTGAACCGCGGCCTTACAGAAAACTGGTGTGTAACAACTAAAGCGTTGTGTTGCGACGTGTGAGTGAGGTTACCGGAGGCCCAATATCTTGCCATCCCCTATCCCCTCCCGATCCTTAAATATCCCAAAAAACCTTGTCCCCAAAAGGCTGGCAACGCACTCGTAACTTCTTTGGTGTCGGGGGTGTACATTGGCGGCGCCGATAGCTTACCATCAGGTAATCTGTCTGCTCGTTTGCCAACATATCTCATAAAAAAAGATGTATTTGGTGTAATGTACGTGTTGTGGCTTGGTACTCACCTCCTTAGGAAATCAATGGTACGATCTTTATCTTTGGCTGTTATGACTCTGACGTGGTATGCGGGTTCTATGATCTTCTTGATACCATGCTCCGCTGCCTGCTCTGGAAGCTTGTCGGCGAGCTGCAAACCAAATATTTTGTAAATGAATTGAAGATACAGTACTTAGTACACTGACATTACATTTTCTCCAAAAAAAGTATTTATTTGGCAAATAAGTACCTGACCATTGCAGAGAAATAAAGTTAGACTTCTAGGATCTAGGATTTTATGGATATAAATTCATAAAGAACGACCTACTACGCTTTTTATTAATAACTATTACGCTTAATTATTAGTATGAGAACTTTTAATTACTATGTGCCACAGGAACTCCTCAATCGTGAACTCAAGAGCAATATGGCATAATGATAAGAGAATCAATAATTAAAGAACCTATTTTAATTAATATTTATTCAATAATTTATTGCTTTGTTAGCATTTCTCTTGTACGCTGGGTACAAGGAATGTCAAGGTGTGGACCCTAGATCTAAATGGATAAATGGTTTGAATGCCTTTTCGTTGCGACTGTTTCGCTGTAGCCAAAAATGGTACTAGTTGATATGATCTAAGAGAATATTTTTGCAATTGTGGTAATTCCAAAAATTTTGAAGATCAAATACTATTATTTAAATAAATCCAATTGGTTGTAGGTTGGAAACCGCCCGGTTTTGGTACCAAAACTACCATAGTTCGAAACTTGGAAGAGTGACTTTTACCGAGTTATATGTACTTTATGAAAATTTAGACACCACCGTACAGTAAAAGAAAACATGTTGAGGAACCTGGACTTATAATGACTAATTATAAATTTCCAATCCGTCTTGAGCAAGCGTGGTTATTAATGTTCAAATCTTCTCCGCGTGAGAAGTGGCTTTTGCTCAGCAGTAGGCAATTATAGGCTCATGATGTGATGTGAATTATAAGCTGGAATGTTTATGTTACTTCCAACAATACGATGCCAAATACTCCTAGCTCATTATGATAAAAATGATTTTAAGAAAATAATTAATGTTACTATATTTTATTGAAAGGATCTAGATTTAAATATAAATCTTGTTGGAGACCGCGTTTAACTTGGCATTGTATCGTGTTCAAGTTGCAACAAAAGTGAATGTGAGTTGACAGAACAATGTTCAAAATGGATACGATTAACAAAGTTCCCTGAAACTTGCTCATTGTACACTTGTACAGATATACCTAAATCATATAAACATTATAATTACAATATACATTGTGATGTCGATAATATGATATTAAATTACCTTCCTTTTTGGTTTTTGTGCGGCGGAATATAATCAAATATCTTTCTTACCCTGGACAGGGCGAGAGGGAGCAGATCAGACGTTTACTGAGTAAAAACCACCCTGTTTTTTCGCCGGTTCCACAGTCAGGTAACCACATTACATTATTGCACTTAGGGCCTCAGTACTTATAAACATATTAACGACATACTTTTCACTGCCGACAGCGCATTCTTCGTTTCGACTATCATACCTATAAATATTAAATTTGCGTCGATTTTTTTATTACCGACAAATACTAAATTTACCATTACCTATGCTATCTTATCACTTACAGCGTATTTCAAATATTTTATAAATCTAAGTAAATGTTTTCACACATATCTTAGCTAAGTCGTTTTACACCATGTAGCGATGTAGTAAAAAATATGAAGGTAGAAATCGCAAAATCTTAAAACTATAAGCGGTTAAAACACACCCTATCATCAGAACTATTATTATGATTAATTGGTTTAGTTAAGGAGCAGAAAAAGGAACGGAGTGGTATTAAGTCAGTAAGAGTACCTATCTCACTCCATCTCAAAGTCATTCTATGATTTCTATTTTCGAGCCTTGATTTTGAAGGGAGAAATTTTCTCCCTTCAAAACAGGTGAAAGTAGGTAAGAACTTATTCTCAGTTACCATTGTAGAATTCTAACTTTTAAGGTCCGGTGTCTTTGGGTATGCAGATGATAGCATTGTTGTGAGTTACGTAACGAAACTAAAAGTCGCTAGCTTGCTAAAAGCCTTATATTTTATTACGGATCGACATAAATACAGCCAATATGTTCGTAAAGTTAAACTGATTTCTTGAGTCTTTTTACAAGTAAATAATGAAGTCTATTATATTTTTGTGTGCCATTTTTCTGACTTTGGTATCTGTTCTCTCAGAAGTGCAGACAAATTACCATGATGCCATCGGTATTCCTACTGCAAACCGTATAAAGGCACTGGAAGAAGAAATTCAAGCTAATAGAAATATTACTATCGAGAACAGAATCATCGGTGGCGAGGTGGCACCCTTGAACGAGTATCCATTTTTCGTACGTATACATAGTTTATCAACTATCTTATTTAAATTGCTAATATTGAAGACGAAATATTTAGACAAGGAAAAATATTTATTTAAGACAGACTCCTGTCTAAAACGTTTTTTTCTAAATGTTTAAACAACGTTTAAGAGTATTTCACAACAGATTGAAAGTTTTTGTTCATGTACGTTCTAGAAACTTGGTATGGTTCATTGAGAACTATCTTGTTATAAATTCATTATTTTATTTCGTTGTTGTTTTTAAAACGTAATTTTTATGCACAGGCTGGATTAATTATCAGTTTAGTTGGTACACCAGACCCGGGAGTATGCGGTGCTTCTCTGTTGTCTCCTAATCGATTGGTTACTGCTGCTCATTGCAATTTTGATGGCATCCGACTGGCGCATGAGTTTACTGTGGTTTTGGGGTCTAACATGCTGTTTTATGGCGGTGAACGTATTGTTTCTAGAAAAGTAATTATGCATCCTAATTATAGGCATCAGTTTTCTATAAATGACATTGCTATGATATATTTGCCCCGGAACGCTATGATTACAAGTAAGTCACACAGTACATAAATTGGTCCTATCTTATTTAATCTTTCAACAAGTCCCCACTCAATGTTGAATATTGCAGATATTGTGAAACCGATCAGATTACCAAATTATTTAGAGTCATGGAAGCAATTTTTGGGATTTCAAGCCAGATCTGTTGGATTTGGAGTTACTACAGATGGTAAGTTGGCACTTTTTAATTTTAATTTAAAGCTGTATACGTTCTCCCATATCGTAACTTATATGAAGGCGGGTACGTTCTAAAACTGCTCCTGGACATCAAGGGATGCGCAGGAACGTTCCATAATTACAAATCGGCGACTTAACTGCTATCCCCAAGCCGTGAGCCAACTATGGGGAATATGGCACCCCCCCTCCCTTTTTCTTCCTCCGAGTAACCGCTACTAACTTTGGCCCAAATCCAAAGAGAGGGAAAAGAATACGATAGTCCTTGATTCCCGCAACATGCTAGTTTGGGAAGGAGAACGAAAAACTCAGGGTGGTTTCGCGTTTCTCGTCCACAATTTCTTCATCAACAGCGTGAGCAAAGTTGACAGTAAGTCGAGCAGGGTAGCGTACCAGGTATAAGCATCGACTTTTACACAATGCGATGATGAGGTAGAGGCTTTGTATGAGGAAATATCTCAAGCCATACATATCTCTAAAAGACTTCACTGTTGTGATGGCGGACTCGGACAAAGGAGGGTATAGGTACGGAATGGCGATAAGTTAAATGTGGGGCCATTTGGATATGGACAATGGAACCATATGGTAGATGAAAAGGAGAGACTCTATCTGATGAACTCCTTCTTCCAAAATCGATCATTCAGGAGGTGGGCGTCGATAAGTTCCAAAGGTTCAATTAAAATGAGATTGAATTCATCATGGCGACAGACAAGCTTATATTCAGTGATGTCTCTGTGATTGGTAAAATAAAAACCAGTAACTATCACCGAATTGTTAGAGGCACACTGAATATCGCTGGAAGCGAAGAAGGTCGTTCGGGAAGTTACGCGACATCGTCTCGTCCAAAATTTCGCAGTACCTCAAAACCAAGGTGTACAATTAGTGTGTGTTTTCAGTCATGACATACGGTACAGAGACGTGGTCCCTTACTTCTGGTCTGTTAGAGAGGCTTGTAAGTGGCCCAGCAAGCAAGATTCTCCGCAGTATGGAAATTTGTTAAAGTCACCGACATATGTAGCTCTTAAAACCTGCAAGTTGAATTGACAATAGGCAGGCCAAATCTGACGGCCAATCAGGGTCAGAAAAAGTGCTCAAGTAGTGACAACGGACCGGAAGAAAAAGCATGGCAAGACCTCCTGCATGGTGGACCGACGACCTCGTCAGAGTCGCGGGGAGCCAATGTATGCGAGTGGTGACTTGTTGTTCGGCATGGAGAACTATGGGGGAGGCCTTTGTTTACATTTGTATGTTTTCCGGGTGATGATGATGATGATGATACAATTTCGTTCCAATCACAATTAAAGAAAATAATTGCTTTTCAGGACACACACTTGTCAACCCTGACAGTTTGTTGAAGCACATCACTCTACAGGTGGTCGACAACTCTCAATGTCAACTTAAAAATGATTTAAACAGACCGAACTATGATATTCTCTGCACGAGTGGATATGGAGGCGTTGGTCTTTGTCATGGAGACTCAGGTGGCCCTCTGTACACCATTGACGAGACATCCACTGACAAAAGTATATTCTTGGTTAGTGATTAGATAAAAATCTTATGAAAATAGTTGTTACTACTTGTTAATTTCATGCTTATTTATGGGCGTATGCAGACGTATAACCTGATGGTAAGCATCAGCGACGCTCTTGGGCGCCCGTCCCACCAGGGAACTACAACTGCGATGCTGGCCTTTTGCAAGTTTGGGATTGGACAGAATTGGAAATCTGGTAACACATCAACAACTTCACAGAAACTTACTTCAGCTTCAGGGTGCTATAAAACATTGAAGAAAACATGGGACCCCGCCGTATCATGATATTTTTTTATGTTCACTACTAAACAAATACAGTATTTCAATTTATGAAGGAAACGTTTTTTTTTATTTTTCAGATTGGGATTAATTCTTACAAATATGGACAAACTTGTACAGGAGGTACAGGCTACACCCGAGTCACAAGTTACATGCATTTCATCGCACTTCACTTGAACAATTAATAAGAATAAAATAAAGTATGTTAAAAATATTTTAAAATAAAAATGTAAAATAATTTTATTTATAAAGGTAGTTTTTGTGCTGAGTAATGCAAAATTTATATTTTGTCTTTCATAAATACCTACGTCTCATTAATTTAATATTGCTAATTTAAAGTTGTAGTTTAATTATCTATAACTAGTAGCGGCCCGCTCCTGCTTCGCACGGGTCTCACCCTCTCGCTTACGATGAAAGGGTCCCTAATGCCCAAACCTCCCCTTTTCTTTTCTAAATTTTCTTTCTTGAACCTTCTCCTGACAATAACACACATAACAAAAAATCAGCAGAATTGGTCCAGGCGTTATTGAGTTATGCGCTTACCAACATATTTTGCGATTCATTTAAACTATATATATACATACATACATCGACCGCCATAATTCCCTTGGTATGACGTCAACAGTACTAATATTATAAAAAACGCGGCAAGTCGAAGTTAAACACCATAAAAAGTTTTTTGAGACCGATACAAATTATAAATTTACTATTTCATTAAATTATTAACCAAACATATATTATAGAATCGTCATTTTGAACGTTAATAAACAACTTCTTTGGTGTTTTCAAAGTAGAATTCTTGCAATTCAACAACTACACAAAAACGAAACGGATAAAAAGCTCATTTTTATGTCCTAACTGTAAATTTTTCAACACGAACTTGTTTGTTATATTGTATCAATTCTATCATGCGGCGTTTGACATTTCTTTATTTTAAAGTACAATTTACTTCACATTACTTCACAATATGGCAGTCGGCATTTTGGCGCGTTTATTTTATGATACTACTTTGATCTTTTTTCTCTGCTAGCAGATAGGTATTTTGCAAAAATAAAAATTACATTTGACTATCGCACGTAATATAAATATTTAAAAAATATTCATATAATTTCCGACAGAATACCTTTATTATTTAAAGGGGAAATCAAATGACGTGTTTAGGGTAAGGCGAGAGGGAGTGTCAGACTCTTACTGACTAAAAACTCCCGTTCCTTCTTCTGCTTCATGACATGCCGAGGCTGCGGTACCCCTTATTGCGCTTGCCCCGCAACCTCGTCTGACCGACAGATATACCTCAATTAAGACCAGCGTTCATGTAAGCGAGTCTACATTGAAATTTTACTCGGAACAAACCTATTTAGACGGTAATGTATACTTAGATAGATATTTATCAACTTATGTCATTATTATAGCCGCCCTTTGCATATCTTATAACGTTGTGTCCGGCTTTGTCGCCTTGGTTAAATGCAATAAAATTACACTAAGCCTTTGTGCAGCTGAACTAAGCTGCGGTCATAATGGTTTAATAAAGAAAAAGCACATAATTTTTCGTCTACTTACTGAAATTTTGTGATGCGGCAAACATTGTTTGGAAAATGAATTATTGTCTTTAATTAAATATAAAATAATACGTTATTGATGTTTTGTCAATAAAATAGTGTCGGTCTCGATTTCCATTCGGATGAGAACATCCCCAACCCGCAAATCCCTAACAGCCAAAAGCCCAGCAACTAGCAGCTCCTCGGGATCCCGAGACCCCGGAAGGTATCGGTTAAGGTTACCGAAAGATAATCAAATACTTAATTTAAATTAACTCATCAAACCCCAGCGAACGCCGGCTTGCGGTTGGCGCACTTAGTGTTCTTTTATTGTGTCTCAAATTACCACGGTTGAAAGGTAAATGTTTTTTTTTTATGTAATATATCGGCAAACGAGCAGGCGACTGATGGTAAGCAATCAGCGCCGCCCATGGACACTCGCAACGGAAGAGTTACGAGTGCGTTGCCGACCTTTTAGAGATTAGGGATTTGGAGATTTAGGGATTGAGGAGGGATTGGGGGGCTTCCCCTCCCTTTTCTTTTTGTTTTTTTTGTGAGGGGAAAATCATCAAATGACTTCTCCCGCCCAGGGCCGGGCAGGAGGGAGTGTCAGACTCTTACTGACTAAAAACCCCCCTGTTCCTTCTCCTGCTCTATGCCGAGGTCGCGGTGCCTCATTGCGCTTACCCCGCAACCCCGGCTGAACATCAGCCCTTTAGGGTGTCTGTGGTGGTCTAATGGCTCTTTGAGGCGCGCGCGCGCCGTACGCTCGGGCCTGGTTCTGGTCGGGCGACGAGCTAGCCTTACTCGCCGACCGCAGGCCCGTGCTTACGGTAGCCGGAGATCGTCCCTTGATCCCCGACGACCGTAGTGTCGCCAGTCGCTGCTGCGGCGTGAGGAGGAGGATTGCTCCCTCACGCGGGCCGCCTCCTTGGATTGGGCCTTTCGGTAACCTCACCCACACGGCAAAACACAACGCTGTGGTTGCTCATCACGCCGGTTTTCTATGGGGCCGTGGTATCACTCCGGTTGAACCGACCCATTCGTGCCGAAGCATGGCTCTCCCACACTTACATTGTTGAATTAATTCAAATCCCCTATGTCCACCGCTTTACACAATTAGCTATTAACATTAACAATCTATGTATTTGTAAATGGCAATACTGGATTGATTTAAATGCATTTGATTGTGAATTAATAGGTAATTCCGACCGGCTGTCACGATTAGCGAGATCTGAACGCATTGTTACGTTGTACCGCTTTGGGTACCACTACATATGTATGTACATTGAACATAATATTATAACTTTATTTTCTAGCGTATTGATTTATAGACAGGATAGGATCCTTTTGGTTCGTTGATCGTGAGTTTTTATTATTCTTTTGTTTACAAGGGGGAGTCTGCAAAAGACTAGTCCTAGATGTTGGGGAAAAGCTATGGAATTGTGGGTTGGTGGCCACTGTCAACACCTATAAGGGACCCTTTGGTAATGGGCAAAACCATATTACCATATGTAGCTATAATGATGTAATTATAATGACGAAATTCGTAGAAAATCGAACGTTAATGCAACTCCTTTCAATGAATTTTCTTTTCTGTTTAACTAGATTTGAAGCCGATTGTTGTTAAGATTAGCACCTTTTGAACAAACAAAAAACATTTTAGATAAAGAACCTTACTGCACAAAAATTAAGGTATTAATTACATGAACAGTTCTAGAACGGATGCAGAACGTCGCGCAGACAGATGCATCCGATCATGAAACTCATCAATATAGGGCAATGTGTCTTATTAGCTGATTGATTGATATTTGCTAATTGTTCTCGCGTGTTCTGGGCCTCATCAGACAATAGCTGTCAGATTCCTATCATAATATAGTCCATGATACTCAAAGCCGATTCGTAGATTTGTTCAAAACTTGTATTTAAGGATTACCATTTAACATACATTATATATAACAACATTAGACACAACAGACATCTGAGTTTGTTTCGGCGTTTCATATGCGTTTTACCCTTGCTGCATGTCTATATGCATGATTACATAAGAGTGAGATTGCATCCTGCAACAAGCCTGGATTTTTGTAGCGGAATTAAAACTAAATATTTTTCCTAACATTTAATGTCATGGATTTCCGCAAAGTAACGCCTGTTTCTATAAATTATCATAAATAAAACAATAATAATGATTATTAAAATGCCTAAATCAAATGAAATAAAGATGATTTAAATCAAATGAAGGTGCGAATGACGTCGGCAAAGGTTTTATTGGTGTATTGATTAACGAAATTAATAATACGGGCAAGGATCTATTTAGACGTTCGTTTCCTATTTCATGTTACTAATGGTACACACTACCGCTTCTGCTATAGATGAATAAAATAAACGTTGTTGTATTAAGTTCGTTAAACACCAACAATCTTTGATCTATTTACAACAAAATTAGTGTGATAAATACTATTTAGTACCTAAATTCACCTTAAATTATCGTTCCTGATAAAATATACCTACTCATTAAATACTACACTAAAGTCCAAATTACAAACTTTTAACGCTAACTACTTATTACTTTATGCCCAGCCCTAAGATAATAATAATATCTGCGTTATAATCACTGTTATTTTCCGCTTATCCTAGTACTAGTAGTACGGAGGACAATAGAATAACAATAACCATTAATTATATGTTAGCTTCTAACATAATTACTATGAGTCGGTTAGTAACTAATTTAAAACTGTGGCTAGGCAACTAGCTGTGGATCCATAAACTTTGTTCCGGGTATGAGTGTGATGTGTATGTGAAATTGTATGTTTGTAAAAATACCCACAACTTAGGAGAAAATCGTAGTGTGAATAAACAAAAAAAAGTCTGGATCAAACCGTTAATTTAATTACCACAAGGCGTTTTTTCGGTTTTTAGGCCATGAAGATTAATCCAATGGATTGTTGCGCATGCTGTTCATGATTATAGGCTCTTGTCGTAGCTTGAAACCTGTTGAGTGAACTCATCAAACAATTGTGTTTGTAAGTATAAAACAAAGGTTTTAAGACAATACTTACTTAAGAATTTAATTGTGTTCAGCGTAGGGGAGACCGGGGATGGTTGACCAACTTTTTACTTAAGCTTCAATATTTCCGATGTTTAGCTTGATTTATAAAAAACAAAAGTTGATACAGGTAGAATAACTATTCAGGTACCTAAAATACTTACCTATAAACTATATATTTCTCGTAATTATACTTATTTAGTTGATTTTCTAAACCCCTGACAGCTGGTCAACCTACCCCATATCCGGGGCTGGTTGGCCATTAGCATGGGGTAGGTTGACCTAAGCAGTAATTAGTATGAATAAAGAGGATTAGTATAAAATAAAACATCAAAATATACTAAATGATAGAAACTTTTTATTTAATTATTAACAAAATTAAATTTGAGATCCTTCTCCTTTAATAAAGAACTTTCATAAAG